TTCGAGAGATAGGTCTATATGAATACAGATGTGGAGCCAGTACCGATACGGCCGCCTCTCCCTCATTTGCTCCAAGACCTTCTGAGCTATAGAGAAATAGCAACGGCTCATTAGAAAGTCACCCAGCAGCCGCAGCAAGTTAAGAGGCCGGGCATGATCATGTATATAATCATTACCGTCGACAAGAACCGTTGGGATGTAGTTTTCCAAGACACAACCACCAAGCAATATATTGTCTATCCTGTTGTAGTTCTTGCTGGTTCCCCTGTATCCCTGACATTTGGAACGAGCCCCAGGGCAGGCCACAATGGCAGTATTTTCAGTGATTCTAGCACGCGGTGCCACCTTTCGAGATCCCAAGTGGGTCGGTAGTACAAAGGTGATACCGCGGAAGTTGAAGGCCACTCATTGCTTCTGGGAGTAACCCTTCCATTACCGTATGTAATTTCCATGTTTCAGGAGTAATGCAAATGACGAATCTACTTGCTAACGACACAGCGGTGTAGAGTCGTTCTCTTGATCCAGTCGCAAATTGTATGGTTTGTATTGTCGTTGCCATGTTCGGCTTCGGATAAGACTTGGCTTTAGGTGTAGGTGAGACTTGCCGTCCGGACGCATCATTATTTTGTTGGTAGTTATGTAAGAGTCAAATCTCAATCAGAACTGCAGTTACATTGGGCGAGATATCCACTCATTCAAACCCCTGATATGATTGGCTCTTATTTTACCAGTATGTTGTTGAGAAGGGGATGCACATGTCGATCTTCAGTTTGCAGAGACGCGGAGAGGACAGAGTTAAAATACTCTACCTCTGTTGTTGTACACTGACATCTGGCGCCAGATCATTGTTGTTATGTTTTATGAAGATAGACAGAATGTGGCGATGATGGCGGTCGCAATGACAGACTGCGGCGGGTGGTTTGTTTCATGGGGCCTAACCAGAAGCACAATGACATGTTGCGTCGATGTTGATTACAATTGGCTCACGCTGCATTCAGGTAAAGTTGGGCTGGATGCCATATGACCTTTGGAGTGGACTGTTGGGTCAGCTATTGTATCGTCCTCACTATCCATCTGTGGCGAGAAGGGTATCAATGATATGGTGTTACCATGTGCAGTGATTCGTTGGCAAGAACCCAAGCAAGACATATAGTCAAGCATATCAATATAGTCGACAATGTGCCTCTCAGGGCAGAAGTAAGTTCACCGCATGTTTTTGAGTTTTCCAAACATCCTCGCAATCTCCCTCGTGACTGTGTGGTGTCCTTTGCTGTAAATGAAGATATACCTCTATATAAAATGCTTTAAGGCATTGGGTGTAGAGCTTCGCCTTCTCCAGACCAGACGGCACGACTCACATTGCCGGGAGACGTGGCATGGAAGAAAACAACCGGACGAAATAACTATATTGTTTCGCTTGTCGCTATATGTGGTTAACTTAGCCCGGTATTGACCATCCATAGATTGACCTCAGCCGCCACCATGGCAAGTGGTTGTAGAGGTATCATCGGTGAGATATTCATCCACTCACAGAGTCACTCCCTTCTGAGACAGTCTAGTAACTGTCTCTGGCAAGCCCAAGATATCTTGGAGAACCAATTGTACGGCACCTTTGATCCTGCTGTCTTCAGGCTGCAGTAGTTGTCGTTTACGCGGATAGTGTATGTCCAGGCGGAGTAGCATGAGAAATAGTTTGCTATTGGACTGGTAAACTGTCCTTCTTTAGATTGCTGGGTTTAAGGGACACCTGACTCTCTGGATGCCTTTTCTATACGGCACCATCATCATTTTACCACTGCAGAGGATTCTGAGCGCAGCATGATGGACGGGACACGTTTCGATAGACCAAAGACCCTCCACATCGGCCATTGTAGTCATAGTCTTTGCTTTATACATTATATTTTGGGACGTAATATAAACAGTGAGATGGGGGCAGGATCGAGTGGCCCTGCCCCTAACTATTGCGGTAGACGCCTGAGCGAGAGCTGATTGATTCAGAGCCAGATCGAGGGGGCCTCATCTGTCTTATATACTTGTTCCCGACTGTAAAGCCAGCGGAAGTTACCCTCGGTATTCATATAGTCAGCTTCATGATGATACTGTCCCGGACCTTACCCCAGATAACAGATATCCCGCTAGAATAGTGACATCTAGTTGGGGGTTCCCTCTTTGCATCGAGGTAAATGCCTGTACCTGTGAGTCCGTCTCGGGGTTCTCCAGGTTTCCCTCTCCACTAGAAGAGTGGAAAAGAAAAAAAATAGAATAAAATAAAAAATTAAAAAGAATGAAAGAAAGAAAGAAAGAAAGAAAGAAAGAAAGAAGAAGAAGAAGAAGAAGAAAAATTTGGATTGCTACCCGGTACTCTGCGATCAAGGGGAAATATGATTTGACCAAGTGCCTATGTTGGTTCACGCATCATGGACCTCCCTTGTACAGACTGCTTAGAACTTGAAGTTGGAATCTTCCGGATCCCTGAGATGTCGAATGGGGGCTATCTGTTTGTCAGGCTGGCTATACGTTGAAGCCATGTATGGAAAAAGCGGAGATTTGTACGGAAGCCCACAAGTACGCTTTCTCAAACTCGTAGAGACAGTCATTCTAGAGATATCAATAAACAGCAAAGGTTGTTGGAAGAAATTCATTCTATGTTAGTTCGCTATGAGGGTTTGAAACAGATGATGCTACCGGTTTCACTATGACTTTTCTGGGGGGTTCCATATCAATGCGCTGTGCCTTCCCCTCCCCGACCGATCATGGACATAGTATTGCACCTCATCCCATATCGTTGGACAAATAACATCATGTATAGGTGGGTCAAATGGAAACAACGTGAGTTGTCGACTGAACTCTCCCCCATCCGAGATCCCCATTTGCAGCACCAGTTCTGCGATAGCTGTAATCGACCAAGCTCTTAATGTGGGAGACGCAACATTGCAAGCAGCAAGGTACAGGGTCCAAAGACGAAAGGTGGGCGGAAGCCAGTATAATACTTCAGCATTCTCCAGGAACCGCCGCAGCTGTGAGATAAGTACATCGCTGGTCGATGCACCAGGAGGAGACTCATGAAACACCACGTTCATCAGTAATAAGAGGCTAAGTCGACAGACCTCCTGGGCTTGCGTTCTGGCACAATCTTCCCCATATTGCATTGAAAGAAGTGTATACTGGATTGACGTCAGCGAGAAACGGATCCTCGCAACGACGGTTTGGCCGCTGCTCTTTGTAATACTGGAGTACTCCTCGACTAAGGATTGTATATCATGGATCACTGCTTTCAGTGCACTATCTGTGCGCAGCAGGCGATCCAGGTCTTGGAAACCTTGTGCTAAATGGTAGTCTTGAGGATCTGGGATTGGGGATTGTTGGAACCGATCACTGAAAATGGGCTTTCGTCCACAATCTACGGATCCACTGATATCGGCCCTGAAAAACCAATTAAGAAACTATCAGAACCAGGAGAATCGAAACTTGTTACCTATATATTTTTCCCTGTACCATTGGCTTGTCATTCAGTGCGTCCAAACCTCCTCGCATGTCAACCAATGCTTTCAGGATCCTCATGTCAACTTCCCATTGATCATGCTGGCCTGCTGCTTTCTGTAAAAGGATTAGCCAGCACATCAGCTTTGTTTGCACAGAATCCTACCAACTTTTGCAATAGCAATGCTGGCAACAGCAACAATTGTTTCATCCGAAGGCGGATCCACCGAATCTACGAGTCTCTTTCGAACAATGCTCATAGCTCGACTAATATGCCATATAAAAGCCGGGCTTGCTTGAAAGCGTTGCAAGTCCATTGTAAATAATGATCCACACGCCAGTACGACATGGAGCATTGCTGAATCTTGAAACAGCATTGGTACCCAATATTCGTCTATTGGATTGCAGCCAGCTCTCTTTTCGATTGAGTAGAGTGTCTCCGATGCACTGTTCTTGTCTTAGAGAGTACTTTATTAGCTAGGTGTGCACTGGTAAATAAAACACCATCTTTCTCACTCACAAAACGCAAAGAGATCAAGCATGTATGGCTCCATGGTAATAGGCAGCGTGTCAAAAGGATCAGTCTGGTTCTTCTGCGGATATGCATGTGGAATGTGGATGTGGGTCAGGCGAGACAGATCGAGGCTAGTATCGCCAGGAGTAATCTCGGCTTTCTTCTGATTCTGACGACTACGGTTAATCATTGTGTGGCTTCTGATGGTGGTGCGCTCTTCTTCATCGATTGGGGCCAACGTGGGCCCAAGGTTGATGAACTTAAAGTTGGAAGCGGCGGCGGGGCGAGGCCGGGACCCCTCAAGGTGTTGCTTCTTCTTTGTCGCTAACTTTGGTCAGCCCATGCTGATATTCTATTTCTAGATGGGTTTGTGGACTAACATCCTGCGGGACGCCCTCTCCTCTTTGGTGGAGATATCTTGAGTGGACCATTGGTATACTCAAACACCACCGATTCGGATAGCAATGGCCCCGTTGAGAATACCACCTCACTCGGAATCTTATCCATCGAGAATAGAAATAAAGTCTTAGATGGTCCTGGATGCGGTATTCACGAAGGAAATGCGATGAAGTGAAGTCAAGGGTCATATGGGATAGTAATCCTGTTGAAAGCGGCCGGGCTTAGTGTTGCTCCGTTATCTCCGTCATCGCCAGCCTCAGACACTAAACCCAATCAGGTTATCAGTCTTAGATTAATTCGGCCCAAATAGGAAATCTACTAATCTAGCCATCATAAGGAGCAAAATGGGTCGAATTGATGACCAGAATATATACAAATTGGGCTCAAATATACGTGAAGTCCTTGACTATCTCGGAAATAAGTTTAAGGAGCCTGCACGCATCTTTCAATCAGGGCCCTATATATGCTATGATCGTTTCCCACATACAGGACTCATGTTCTATCTTCCTCATCTTCACCTTCATCTCACCTTCACCAATTTGCAAATATCCTTCGAAAGTTTTATAATTACTTGAGTATCAAGCCTCGCAGACCGCTTCTCATCATCATGTCTTCATATTCTTCTCAAACTTCAGCAGAACAGGTAGCACAGGATTGCCATAATGCCATTGCCAACAAGACTGTGCTCGTGACTGGCGTTAGCCCAGGTGGTCTTGGTGCCGAGTTTGCAAAGGTTATTGCCATTCACGGCCCTTCCCTCCTTATTCTTGCTAGCCGCGATATGGCCAAAGCTCAGCAGACAGCCCAGGAGATCGCAGACATTGCGCCAAGAATACCCACCCGTCTCCTTGAACTAGATCTGCACTCTCAGGCCCAAGTCCGAATCGCCGCTAAGGAAGTTCTGGCATACAAGGAGGATATAGATGTTCTGGTCAACAACGCTGGTGTCATGGCATCACCGTTCTCGCTAACGGATGATGGGATCGAGAGTCAATTTGCCACCAATCACGTTGGGCATTTTCTCTTCACCAATCTGATCATGGAAAAGCTAGTACGTCCTGGAAAGCCTTGCCGAGTTGTGAATGTGTCTAGCAACGGCCACCTGCTGAGCTCAGTCAGGTTCCATGACTGGAATTTTGACGTAAGTTATCATGCCATGCCCCTCCCTCTTCAAATGTCGAAATAATGAGCTGATGGCTATATCAGGAAGGCGAAAACTATGACCCCTGGCTAGCCTATGGCCAAAGCAAGTCGGCCAACATGCTCTTCTCTATGTCTCTAGCACAAAAGCTGGGGAGCAAAGGCCTGACCTCAGTCAGCCTACATCCTGGTACTATTGAGACGAATCTGGCGAGAGGAGACTGGGATGAGATGTATAAATCACTCGGTAAGGTCACTTAGTATTCTTTTGTGCGAGGGCTTGCTGACATTACTCCAGCGAAATGGTTCACAGTGCTCGGGTACTTCCGGAGTGGGCAAAGAGAGATAACCTGGAAGTCTATGTCGCAAGGTGTGGCGACGCATGTATTTGCCGCATTTCATTCATCTATCTCCGCCGATGGTAAGTATTCTCTATGTGCCGGTCATTCTTCTAAGCTAATCAAGTCTGGCAGAGAATAATGGAGGCTTTGTTCAAGACTGTGCAGTAGTTAAGCCAGAGGAGGTGCGCAGCTGGGCCCGGGATGAGATCGAGGCAGAACGACTGTGGAAGCTGACTGAAGATATCGTTGGTGAAACTTTTGAGTATTGAAAATGGTAAATGTGGTACATGATAAGGTAGCAGAGTTGATGTATTGGGTTGAACATGCACTTTCTCTGGTGCTGATACTCCTTCGGTATTTTGCTGTGCCTTTCCTTGATAGCATCAACTTGTGATCATTGCCTGAAAACCCCTGTCTTGTAGATACTTAGTAACGTGTAATCCATGTTGCTAGCATAGCATTCGCCGTCAGTTGACGTCCGACTTGGCCTGCCCAAAGATAATAATGTAAGAGTGCTTGATGAGCTTGGTGCTAAAGAACGCAAGTGAAAGTAGGACCGGCTTTTCAGATCCATCCAACCTATACTTCAGCACCCCGCCAAACTCCGGGATAAGAAGCTGTAACATCAGCCCATAAGATAAGGTGTCGGCCCACATTAACGTAACGGCCCGGGGAGATATGTCAGCCCCGGAATAGGACTAGCGTACCACAACTCCGGTAGAGACCATCCGAACCAATTAACATACATTATCTCACCCAGTGACGCAGCAGGCGCGGAGGGTGACGGAAGCCAGCGTCATGGACTGGCTACTACATGGCCTTTGCCAGGATGCCATCCGGGAATTACGAGATAGAGCCCATTGGGATGTCAGCCCACATCAACAATGGCCAGTTCCAGCCATCCAGATATCCGTCTTAAATAGGAGCTGACCGGCATTACAGATCTCCTCAACTAAGGGTACTTTACCAAGCGTAACACTTATACAACATGCCTTCAGATTCGAACGATCAGAGCATCTCCGCTTATGGAGCTGCTCGCTCCACGGTCAAGGGCCAGAACCTTGACCCTGAGGAAGTCCGGAAGATGGACGCCTACTTTCGTGCCAGCATGTACCTATGCCTAGGCATGCTCTATCTGCGCGACAATGTGCTCCTCAAACAGCCATTGAAGGTGGAGCATCTCAAGGCACGCCTACTCGGTCACTGGGGCTCAGATGCAGGACAATCATTCACCTGGATTCACATGAACCGGCTGATCAAGAAGTATGATCTGGACGTTCTCTTCATCTCCGGCCCGGGCCATGGTGCCCCTGGTATTCTCTCTCAGTCATACCTGGAGGGAGTCTACTCTGAAGTCTACCCGGACAAGTCGGAGGACGAGCGAGGAATGCAAAAGTTCTTCAAGCAATTCTCTTTCCCCGGCGGTATCGGCAGTCACGCTACCCCAGAAACCCCCGGTAGTCTTCACGAAGGTGGCGAGCTGGGTTATTCCATCTCGCATGCCTTTGGCACCGTGTTCGATCATCCCAATCTGATCACCCTGACTATGGTGGGCGATGGTGAGGCCGAGACTGGGCCACTCGCTACAAGCTGGCACAGCACCAAGTACCTCAACCCCTGCACCGACGGGGCCGTTCTGCCCGTGCTCCATCTCAACGGGTACAAGATCAACAATCCGACACTGCTCGCACGCATCTCCCATGATGAACTTTCCGCCCTCATGAAAGGCTACGGTTGGACGCCCTACTTCGTGGAAGGTAGCGACCGCGAAACCATGCATCAAGCCATGGCAGCCACGCTTGAGCACTGTGTCCTTGAAATCAGAGAATTTCAAAAGAAAGCCCGCGAGTCCAAGGAGCCCTTCCGCCCGCACTGGCCCATGATCATTCTGCGCAGCCCAAAGGGCTGGTCCGCCCCGCGCGAAGTTGATGGCAAACTTCTCGAGGGCTTCTGGCGTGCCCACCAAATCCCTATCACCGACGTCCTCACCAATCCTTCACATCTCCAACTTCTCGAATCGTGGATGAAGAGCTACAAACCCGAAGAGCTCTTCACTCGAGAAGGCCGCCTGATCTCTGAACTCAAGGCCCTCGCTCCAACTGGTAATTACCGTATGAGCGCCAACCCGGTGGGCAACGGTGGCCTCCTACGGCGACCGTTGGACCTACCCGACTTCCGCAAGTACGCACTCACGTCCATTGATCCCGGAGCCACCATCCGCGGCAGCATGGTCAACATGTCACATTACCTCCGTGATGTGGTCGCCTTCAATCAGACCAACTTCCGTGTCTTCGGGCCGGACGAAACCGAATCAAACAAACTGTCCGAAATATACAAAGCCGGAAAAAAGGTCTGGCTGGCCGAATACTTCCCCGAAGATTCCAACGGCGGAAACCTCTCCATGACCGGTCGAGTAATGGAAATGCTCAGTGAACACACCTGTGAAGGTTGGCTAGAAGGATACGTCCTCTCGGGCCGTCATGGGCTCCTTAACAGCTATGAGCCCTTCATTCACATCATCGACTCAATGGTGAACCAACACTGCAAATGGATCGAAAAATGTCTGGAAGTTGAATGGCGCGCCAAAGTCGCCTCGCTGAACATCCTCCTCACCGCGACCGTCTGGCGCCAAGACCATAACGGCTTCACGCACCAAGACCCAGGCTTCCTCGATGTCGTGGCCAATAAGTCTCCCGAAGTCGTACGCATCTACCTCCCGCCAGACGGGAACTCCCTCCTCTCCGTAATGGACCACTGCTTCCGCAGCGCCAACTACGTCAACGTCATCGTCGCGGACAAACAAGACCACGTCCAATTCATGGACATGGACGCCGCAATCGCCCACTGCACCAAGGGCGTCGGGATCTGGGACTGGGCCAGTAACGACCAAGGTGCGGAACCAGACGTCGTGATGGCCGCATGCGGCGACGTTCCCACCCACGAGGCACTAGCCGCCACGGCGCTACTGCGCGAGCATCTACCCCAGTTGAGAGTGCGCTTCGTCAACGTGGTCGATCTGTTCAAACTCATGTCCAAGATCCATCACCCGCACGGAATGTCCGATCGGGAATGGAAGGCTATTTTCACAGCCGATAGGCCGATCGTATTCAACTTCCATTCGTACCCGTGGCTTATCCATCGGTTGACGTATAAGAGACCCGGTCAGGAGAATATTCATGTCAGGGGATACAAGGAGAAGGGGAACATCGATACGCCATTTGAGCTGGCTGTGAGGAATCAGACAGATCGGTATAGTTTGGCTGTCGATGCGATCGATCATGCCCGCGGACTGGGCAATACGGCGTCCGGGGTGAGGGAGACATTCCTGAATATGCAGTTGCTGGCGAAGCAGAAAGCATACGACGATGGCATTGATCCGGATTATATTCGGAATTGGACCTGGCAGTATCCGCGGAAGAAGGGCGAGGGCGTCTGAACTGTTTGGGTTGCAGTTTGCGGGGAGTAGCTGTTAATAGTCATAACCAAGTAGTGATGGATTGGTCATGATGTATTTCTGACTGCAGATCTATACAGGTAGTAGTACCTGGCCATACTCAATAATAGTAGGACACTACTAGCTCCTCCGAATAGCAACGTAAGTTCACGCGAGATGAAATCCATGAGGATAGAGGAGTTGTTGCAATGGCGGAAAATATATAGTATGGGCGAGCTCCCACACACCTATCTTTCGCGGGATTCTAGAGTTCCTCAGCCAAAACCTTTACTATTTTATAAAAGCGGTTTACCTAAATTACAGAGTTGCTGTTACCTCAGTAGTGGCCTCAATAAATTGCAAGCTCAGTGCACAGCGAAATATTGCGGAAAATGGAAACCGACTCCAGTTCGCAAAGCTAGCTTATGCCATTAATAATGCTAAAATGCTGAGCAACCTATAGCAAAACGGGCAAGATGGCCGAGCGGTCTAAGGCGCTAGGGTCAGGTGTATCTGATCTCCCATGTTCTTCGGAGCATTCCTAGTCTCGAAAGGGGCGTGGGTTCGAATCCCACTCTTGTCATACCTTTTTGCTTTTTCAGTCTTTGCTCCTGTGTAGGGCGCATATTGTATCAATGCAAAAATATCTTTTAGAAATTTGCCGGTAGTAAGTTGGATAACTATTGAGTTCTAAAGTTCTCTTGTATGTTGATTTGGCCATACAATATACTGTGAGTTGAAGAGGAAAATGTGGGTATCTGTCCAGTATAAAGTGTATTAGATTAGAGCAATGATTATTACATTATTATACCATCTCAGTTGCCTCTGCATTCGCACGACAGTATGGGGAAAACGGATGACTCCGACAAAAACCCATACCAAGGCATCTTGTGCGATGAAGTCAACTAAAATCACACTCTTTCCTTCAATAAATATTTGAGATGGCATGAGCAGGCAGGAGTTCCACCATATTTTTAGTTGATACTTGGAACAGAAGCCGGCAATATCAAAAAAGAATGATGAGTCCACAGCTCTTTTTCAAATCCGCAGCGACGCGAACCAGATGATTGTAGTCGTCAACTACCATCATCACTCCTTGAAATAAAGAATCATGTTATCCACAACAGCATCAGCACCGTGGATGTTGTCTCTGCCTGTAGCTCCGGCCCATTCCCCCTTAGCACCAAGAGCATCCCCAACCAATTTATTGTCATTACCCTCATGACCACCAACGTCGTAAGCACCATCTGGTCGAACTGTTGTTTTGAAGCTGAGTCCATTGACGAAGCCGTCATCGTGACCAGCATAGACATGCATCTCTGTTATTGTCTCATCATCCGCAAAATCATATGAATATGGTCCGTAAAGTGGGACGGCGTTATCCCTTCCGCCGATTCTACCGGTCGAATAACCGTCTTGAAATTCTAGATTGAACGCTCCAATAACTTCGTACGGGCGGTCCCCGTAATTTGCGGTCCATAAATCAACATGCTTGACTTTCTCCTCACCATCTCTGGCATCGTAGGAACTGCCGCCCATCCCACCATAGGGTCCGTCTGCATGTAAGCCGAAGGTATTCATGGTGATTGAGATGTGGATGTTGAGCACAAGGACTTAGGAGCTGGTTGGATTGTAATAAGAGGTAATCACATAGATAATTGGGAGTATGAGAGTTGGAAAGACGAAAAAGGATAGTCCAAAGGAGATCTTACACCCTTATATAGGCTTCGGTGGGGTTGATCTTGAACAGACTCTAGTTTAGTACTTGGTGGCAATGCGAAGACTGAAAGTGAAAAGCATAGATATCATCTTGCGTCAAGACTCTCCAACAATAACTTTGTCTTGTGGTAGGCCTAATGCCCATCTGCGTGATAATTCCTCCAGCACAACTCAGATGAAGCTAGATGCGTGTTGGTACGAGTTGAAAATACATCTAGACCTCCGAATACACCTATAGACCCCAGGAAAGGGAAGATGTCAAAGCATCATCACTCCTCAGGTGACGTTCTTCATTGTCTAGACATGAGCCAGATAATGGAGTGAAAGCCTGCATTAGGCTGTCAATGACCTTGTGGTTATACACGGACATAGCTCTTTCTCTCCGAGCACCCGGGAAAACGACGTCAAACCACGTCTATGCAGAGCTATTAGAGCCATGATTTCCTTATGAGGGTGTTACACAAAGATGTTATTTAGTAATGCCTGAGTGATTCGTTGGATGTCGGACGTGTCCGCAGGGTATAATGATGAAGATATAGCATGCTTGCGGAAGCACTTCCGCAATCGTTCAATTCCAGATGCACCAGAAACTTGGGAACAGTTTGCGCCGTAAGCCATCCTAGACTGGACGGGCGACACGAGTTGGAGATGAAATATCAATTATTCAGATGTTAGTAAGACATCATCTATCATAGGGCTTACGCCATACATTAGGCTCTGGGGCTGCGTTTTGATTCGCAGGGGCCTTAATTCATTCGATTATGTTTGTGTCATTCCATAGCTATTTGTGTGTAGGCATTGGAGACGCGGAGACAAAGGAATGTTGCTTGTAGTAGAACCTAACGTCGGCCGTCATATTCCGATTGTCAGAGCATAAGATGGCTGTGAGGCTTGTTATTGGGTCATTCATGCACTTGCCCCACGGGCCGCATCCGGCCAACGTGCTGGCTACCAAGAGTTTTGAAACTCTTGAACCTGTGATTTAGTTCCATATGCACTATCCAACAAATGGCGTACTTTGTGAGGGCGTTGTAAGGGCAGAGCGGGAGCTGATTCTTTGGGAAAGTGATAGCACCAAACATATTAAATCTATCATGCGGTAGATCGACATGGTATAAGTCTGCTAGTATAGTAGGTGGCATATTAGGCACTTGTCTGTTAAAGCAATAAATGCGCTCGAGAGACAATGGACCCACCGATCGTAATTGCGGGGCATCTGCAAAACTTAGAATAAGTCTAACAATGACCTCCAATACTTATTCCACCTACCCCAATAATTCCAGTCCGGGCTTATCTCTACACCAGGCCGTGGTGCTTCACCGTAACGCTTGAGATTGGAGCTGGCTACACATGGCCTTAGAGGCGCGACTAGAGACTCTCGAGCAAATGGTAAGGAACAAGATGCGGGGTGGGAAGGCATGTTGTCATCCATAATTAAGTTGGAGCACTAAATTTGAAACCTTGACTGAACGCCATACCTTAGTAACTGTATCAAGGAATGACTTACGGCGTGAACAGCGTTGCGTCTATGGCAGACGTGACGAGGCAGGAAAGGACAGCCAATTAGCGTAGTAATTTCCGTCTCAGTAGTTCAGAAATGCTGCAACGTTTCAACTCCTACACCTTTTCAGGCACCAAGGCTGCATCCATGACGAATGGATTGGGGAATCAGTGCTCTGTTTGGGAAACATAGAACCAACCACCCCTACTATCCCCATAGACGAAGGTGCGAATGCCTGAGCTTTCCTATGACTACTCTACCAGAGCGTTCAAAAGGGACCATCATTCAAATATGTTCGAGGTATAGTTTCTTTAATATATATATATATATTATGTTCTATGTTGATTATCTAATTTAATATAATGGGCCTCTGGAGGGGGTGACCTCTTTTCGTCCAAACATGCTTATGCCGTGTATGCCGCATGTCTGTCAGCCACTGACCCCTTCACCAATCCAGAAACGAGGCATCTCGACTACCACTGTGAGGAACTGCTCGCATGACCGTTGTATATAGTTCCATCACATAAAGTCGAGGTCCGGGTTGGATCGTCGTGTCAAGTGGTTGTCTTTGAATTGAAGCGAGTCTCGGGCCTTATCAGTGATGCGATGGTTGACGCCGAGAGTCTATCCCTCATGCGCCATCTCATGTGACCAATTTCAGTCAACAAATCGGCTTGTGGACTTCCGAGGGGTGTTTTCGCACTGGTCCCAGCGAGTCAGCGATTTGATCAACACATCGAGCTGGGACCTTCCTAACAATAACCGACGCTGTCATGCGTTTGTCCAGACCATCGCCTGACCAATGGTCCCGAGTCTACCTGTCGGACGACTGTGACACCACCATTATTACTACCCGAGTCATCAAATCCAGATGCCGTGATGTTGAATCCACGAAAGCCTGGGGATAATGGATCCGGATCGGAACTGGCCCCTTGAGCAATCTGAACCAGCCGGCCCAGGATAGCATATTCCAACTTCAACTTGACGCTATATGCGACAGGCTTGAACATGACCTGCAGCGCATAATATCCGGCGTACTCTATGGCGACGACTGCCACGTCCAGGATGAGGATGATCACATTGATAACAAGTAATTGAGTGAGGATAATGAACCGTGGCCTCTCGGGGCGAAGGCGCAGCAGCTTGATGGTCTCCCATACATAAATCCCGGAAAGGATGAACTCTTGGACGCAAAAGGCGACAAGCTGGATCCGCTCCATGATGTCGTAACCCCTCGTGAAGTGAGGTATATCTGATAGTGACCCATACAGCAGGACTGTTGTTGGAATTTGGAAGACGATGCAGTCGGTGATAATCATGTACAGGAGACCCTGCAGCAACTTCTGCGATTGTACGAGGAGGTGCAATCGCGACCAAAGGACGAGGGAATGACCAGTAACTATGCTAATCCAGGTAGGGACAATCAAGGACACAGGCACATAAGGAGAAATGGACGAGAAGATAAAGAGCAGGTATCCCACGCAGTGGGGGATGAGGCTCGCCGAGGTGACGAGTAAACTCCAGAAATAACACCCATGATATCTGTTGAAAGTCGTGAAACAAAGCACCACGAGCTCTATCGAATTGTAGAAGGTAATGGCCGCAAAGGCGGAGATGACATATTTCTGGATCGGGTCTTTCGAGGTCAGCGATGAGAAATCGCCGCCATCTGCGTCGATACCGACCTCCTGCGACATCCTAGTCCCGATGTCGGTCGCATCGGCCAAAGAATCTCATACCGAACGTGGTGCTGGTGTAAAAAGCGACCGACCATATAAGGCCTTCAAAGGAATGAAAGGAGAAGAGGTGCCAACGGAAGTTTTAACCGAGTGGCTGCAACTGGGCCGAGACCTCCATTCTTGCTAGACTTTTCTGCGCAGTACCGAGGCCAAAGCGTCATTCAGAGAGTACAGGAGAGAAGAGTTGGACAGGCGTGAAGGGTTTATTCTAAGAGAGGTGCCCCCGAGGGCTGCGAGTGGAAGCTTGGTCCATGCGGGTTGCGGAAACCTTAATGGCCGCCTCTGACGTGCACGACCCTTCTAGGCTTGCCAGTCAGTTTCGCACGGATGCCTGATCAGAAATGACTACGAAGTCAATTATAAGGCACGCCCGCGGCTCTACGATGGTGTGGATCCAATAGCAGCAGTCTGGATGCTCCGATCGTCCTAGGAGTTCAGTCTTGGCCCATTATCCCATGGTGCTTTATCGAACCGTCGACCAGGTTAGACGGCCTAGGCAGATGGAACTCTTAATAATATAAACCTAGATTGGATTCTGAAAGCTCTTATTGGGTGCAAGAATATCCGACAATTAAAATCCAACCTGATCGGATCAAAGGAAGAATACTACCATATACGCCCGGGGATCACCCCTGCGCCACGAATTATCCAATTGGGCTCGATGCGAGCGAAGTCCCATCCCCAAACGATGTTGCTTGCTGGTTAGATGTTGACAAGTGGAAAATTGCCCCCCATAACATCCTTACCAACAGCAAGCGAACAACCATGAGACATGCATCTGACTGCAGTTGATTTGTCTCCATTCATCGGCTTATGTATTGCATCGGAGTCCTTGCACCTCTGCATTTTCGCACAGTACATATTTTCCAGTATATTTCGTGGGAAGCTTGATGTTGATGTCCCGGAAAGTGAGGTCTGTACACGGTGCCTTTTCGGAACAAAGCAAAGACACGGCGAAGCTGATGTTCTTTCCCGGATAATCCGTCACCGTTGCGAGTCCATTTCCACTAATATTCTTAAAATGTAGATCATTGAACTCATACGTCGACGTGTCACAGTACTGCGTGATGTTTTCGCTGAAGAGGTAGCTCAGACTGCCAGGGTTAGCCGAGTGTGCTAAACACAGTGGCATCACTCTTACCAGGTGTCAATATACACAGGTAATTGGACGTTCTTCAGTCGAAGGTTCTCGACTGTCACGTTGCGCACGTATCCATGGCCGCCTCCGCCACCATTTGGAGGAACGCCATAGTTGACCCCAATCCTGACTGATCAGTTACCTATCGCGTTGGGAGACGTGGCACCTACCAGCTTTTGAAGTAGACTCCGGAATTCATCGCCCGTTGAAAGGAAGGTTGTACCTATACTTGTCAATGCGAATCTCACCATTATCGCTGGGATCGCTTACTTGAACATGGCGAACCGTCACATTCTCCACAATATCCGTCCGGTCGGGGTATTGTCCTAGCGAACCAAAAGCAATACCCGGCCCGCCGTAAACCGTGACATTCTCCACATGGATGTTCGTAGAATTTCCCTTGAAAGCCACTGCATCATCTCCGCCTTGATATATCCAGTTGGTGATGGTGATATGGTCGGACCGGTACGTATCGATCCCGTCCGTATTCTGCACCCATTCGTCCTCTGGGCTCACCGAGAAGTATGGTTTGTGGCATTAACGTAAAAATTATCGAGGTTGATATACGAAGAGGAATCGACAAGAACGGCCCAGAACTGGGGCTGTCGGATCGCCAGGTTACCGAGGGTTGCTCGCGTCGACTGGAACACATGCACTGGCATGGGTCGTCCAAAGATGTTGCTACCTCCCTTGGCCCAAGTGTACCACAGCTGCCCATTCCCATCAACTCCACCTTGAAGAGGACCTCCATCCACAGTATAGTCATGGCCCGTGATACGCCAGGCACTTGACTGGTTCTGAAAGTCTACCCGATAGGAGTTGTTCACCCAGTAATCAATGTCGTCGCTGAAGAGAAGCGTACCACCAATTTCAAGTCGGGAGTCAGTCAGGCGAGTCGTCATCCGCTGGTTAATTCGGTAAGTATACGGCGCTGGGAGGACAATTCTTCCTCCAGAGGTCTGACCACATTGGTCGACTGCCGAAAGGATGTTGGGGACATCATCCTGCCCGTTTCCTAAAGGGATAACGGTGCAGGTGGTGCCATCCTTCTGGAGAGAAGGTACTGCTGAAGTAGCAAGACTCAAGCCTGCGAAAATGGCAAGACCACTAGTTGACAAAATCACCATCTTGGCCCTTTATCTCCCTTTTCTTGATACCCGCCAGCGGTCGAGCACAGTTCTTCGTTGGCAGTTCCAGTGACGGGGTTTTATTTCCGCGCCGTTTGCGGATTGAGCCTAAAAGCCGTGGTTATTGGGAGGGGATGCAAGCAGGATCGGCGCCCATGCGGAGGCAGAGTAGGACGTGATTTGTCCAGACTGAAGAGTCAAGCAACGCACGAAGACAGCAAGCAGGGCTATGATATCGGATTTGCTCCGGCAATTCGTGACAGCGATCGAGCAGCCATCACAGACGTAAGTCGCAGGCTTCGTATCGAGTGTATCACCAATTGCAAAGCTGCTCTTCTACAGACCTGCAGCTATTTCATTAGCGATACATTCTTTGGACTGATGGCTTTGAGGTTCTCGGAGCGATTCATCTGTCGACCTTCCCCGTTCAAGCATCAGGCAGGTAAAGAGGAGGCACTCCGGCAGATGTATGCCAAGGGATGGAAAGTGCAGATCTTCCTTGACTAGGTTCTTACGGGTTGGATGACATGCAGGAATGTTGATCATTTACACTTTGAGAACCCTGCACGGTGTAATTCATACCGAGGATGAGTTTTGACACCTTCTCGTCTCGAGCCCAACCACTAGAATATGTACTCCGGTCGGTGTATCGTCAGTCATGAACCCTCAGCACTTACATCATACAGGCATCAATTCACATATTCAAGTTCCCACACAGCAAAAGCAATAGACACCCAGCACGGTCGGGCATCTCATCAAGTACTCACTATACATCCTCGAGTGAAGTACTGCGAGAAATTGGCTATTTGTGGCCAATTGCGTCCATTCGGCGGCGCAGAGCCCAGCATACTGCCAGACAGCATGCCAGGCCTGATCTCGAACGTTTGCCTGAGCAGATGATGGCTCTTCAGCTACAACAGCGATCCGAGGATTATCGGGGAATCACCCAAGAGTGCTTCCCAACCGAACTGGCAACTTATCCCTGCGACGACAGAACATTGTTTGCAATTCTACCGCGGTCACCTAGGCGTCAAGTTTGAGCGGATTGTCCGAGTCCAAGTGTGACAAATCAGTCTCGGCGGCCGCGGCCGAGAAAGCTCTAGGCTTGTGGCTACAGTACTTACCTTGCAGACACTATCCATCCCTTCGGCTTAAAATCCGGTGCAAAGCCACAACACCGGGCTTCATTCTCACAGCTGCATCAACAAAGGGACAGACAGGGTCCACTTCTAATGGGCCGAGTCAGCAATTAGTGTTTATTCATACCTGCTGCCATCATCGTTCACCGGGCCCCGCCCCCAATCCTAGTCTCAACGCTCTGATGCTCACGTCATCCCTATCCAGTCTAGTAGGCACGGCATTCGAAACGCCCCATGCGAGAAATTGCACAATCGCATGCATTGAAAGTCATTTATTCCGCTCTTAATAAACTGTCCGCAAGCCAGATCCTTGTGGGTATAACAAACAGAATGAAACACACGCCCAATCTATCTCGTCCGATCAACAGATATTATCATTACACGTATCATATTAGCAAAGAAATGTCGCCCTCGGGCTAGCGCCGAGTGCCTCCAGATCCGACGGATCCGGAACTCCACGCGCTAGACCAGACCTTGGTCTCGACGCCTTGCTTGGGGCCGTTAGAGAACGGACACGCCGACCGTTGCGCATATTGCGTGGGGGCTGAAATGGTGGGTGGAGATGGAGTGGTCTCGAGCGATGACGTTTCCGAAAAGAGACTGGCAAATTCGGAAGAGGATGTCGAGCTGGCTGTCGAGGTCTTCACGCAAGACGATCCATCGGCCCGCAAGTATGTCGAGCTGGGCTTAGGTGTGACTTGAGGAGCAGCTTCTTGTTGCTTATGCGAAGACTCAATCTCTTTTTCAAACTCTTCCCCGTCATGAAGACGCCATCGTGCAAAGAGATCGTTCTGGATCCATATCACCTTGCCCAGAGCTCGGACTAGCGCTATCCGGAACGGCAGCGTGAGCTTTTCGTATGTCAGAACTGCCTCCATGATGATGTCTTGGATGAAGCCGAGGCAGGCGCCGATATGGATGTACTCGACATTTAACGAGTGCAGCCGTTCCTTCCCATAGTGCATGCGTCTGACATAGCCGGTTAGTATCGTGAGCCCATACAAGGTGGAGGTTTGCATACCCGACTTGGTTCAAGTATCTCCAGAATTCAGGCTTGGTTGGATCGGAACATAATTTCGTCATATACCAGCGAAGAAATTGACGGCGACGCTGAACTGCCGGGCTATTGAGGGTAGGATAGTCGTCTGGTTCTTCTTCTATCGCAGTGTTCCGAGTGCGGAAGACACGCGCCGTGATGTCAAACTCTAGAAGTTTCACATACACCTTATCCACCACCGTGGGAGCTAGGGCCTTGACATATTTGGCGCCCCGGACGAGAGTTGCGATATCATCTGTATTCAGTCCGAGTTAGTTGATGTTGTGTTACCGCGGAGAATCAACTCCCGCGGAAAAGAGTTGAATGAACATAAACAGCCTTGTGGGGAAGATCGGGGACGCTGGGGGGGCACCAACCGGCATTAAAATTAAGGAATTTCTGCAAATAGTCGATCCGCGCCTCTAGATCGGTGTACAGGGCTTTACGATCGATATGCCTTGGGTGGTTTTCTGCATTGTGGCCGGGTTCAGACATGGTGCAAGCTGGGTGAAGACACTAGAGCTGGAAAAAAGAGAGAAAAACCGGCGGAGGTGGGCAGGGGAGTCATTGAAATGTTCTTCCAAGAAAATGGCCCCCGACACACGGTCGAACAGGTATATACCCTGCCATGCCAGATGGAAAAAAATAAAAAAATAAAAAAAAACCTGACATGTTGCAGATTGCGACCCCTCAGGCCATGAATTGGGAAATAACGACAGCGAATCAGTGGGGCGGCTGAAGTGATCAGTAGGAATTTTCGGCTCCGCTTCGTCTGTCATCGATTGCTCAATAGTAATCGCCCCTTCTTCCTGCGGTCTCCTTAATACTGATCGACCACTCCACCCCGTCCTTGCTATCCCCACGAGCCGAGACTTGGGGGGTCGACATCAACCTGAGACCTGCTCGGTTTCCATCCATAGCAGCTGTCAGACCTATGGGTGACTTGGCGGCGGCCGATCAACACATTGAAGGTTTAGCTAGCTACCTTCTAGCCGATGCTTGTAATTGTGCTGATCAGCCCTCAACGATGGCCGCCGAATCTCATCTCACGTCACAATGCTACAAGCTCGATGCATTCCCGCAGCTGATGCCTAAGATGGCCCTAGTGTGTCAAAATTTTTCCGGACCGGTATTCGATTGGTTCGTGGTCGGCAATTGATGGGGAGATTACGCTTCGCCCGTCCACGATGGAGAATTGTGGAGCGCCGTCCCGCCAGTTTGCCGTCAACCAAAAAAAAAGGACGGGCAGGGCCTTGCAGATTCCACTGACAAGTCGTCGAGGCGAGCCTTAAGCGATGGTTGCATGATCCTCAGACGACCTGGAACACCGGACTGCGCAACCTTTCTGCAGGACACAAAGACACTCATCATTCTTGGTCTGGAATTTCATTGGGGAGGCTGGGAACCACGGAAAGATGTCAACTAGCGGAATAACGAAGAAGCGTGCTTGGTCTTTTCCGGACGACACACCGACTTTCTGCGCGGATGGCGCCCATTGATGGTGGTTGGTGGTTGGTGGTAGGTGGTCCTTTCCAGGAAAAAAAAAAAAAAAAGATAGGGGGACCACTAACAGCCTCATCCATCTAGACTATGCTAGGTAATCCCCAGCAACCAGATCGATTTGTTGAATTATGCCATCGTCATCTGTTATCGGGGGATTGCCCAAGCAGGCATGTAGTACCCCAAACTCTACCCCACCGGATTGCAGAAAGCATATCAAGGTCTCCGATCAGTCACCTGCATCCTCATCCTTCATTTATCCCAGACAGGGGATATCTCTAAATAGCCTTGAGCTCCGAAGAAGCTACTAATAATGATAAGTTTGGATTCGAGCAAAGCCCGTGAACCCCTTTTAAGGTCTTCACTAGTTCTTAAGACAGGCCCGCAGTCCGATACGAGTCAACGATAGTGGAGTCACCTCCCTTCTTTTTTTTGTTGTCTCCGCCACCTTATTCTTCCGCCATTAACGCCAATGAGACTCATCACGAACCTCAAAAGGGGGAACTATGGGGAGCGGACCTCATTAGATTGACCAGGGTTTTTAGTAAATAAGCTTTAATCAGCTGATAGATGAATCTCAATCTAATTGATTAAGCCTGATTCAATATCTTGCCGTTAGAAGGTACCAGAAGGGAAGGGAGAGGTGATGTATACACGGGACATGATAGATAGCGAAAGCTCAACAAACAAAACGATCGACACATTATTCGGCCGAAGCGAGATGTCAGTCCAAAGGATAGACACGGGACTGAAACGTGACCTGTCACACGCCTGAAACTTAAACCAGCAAGTGTCAAAAGTGGCTCTTGACATCACGACCCAAACTCTCTTGATGTCTGTCACAATTAATTCCCATCCCGTCATCCCCACGCTATTTCTTCCCGTCCTTTCCATCCATCAATCTACTACTACTAAGTCTAGACGCCATCCTACGCATCCATCACGAATCCATCTACTCCAACTCATCTCACTAACTGATCGACAATCAATCAAATTAAATCCTACCAACAATGATCCTCAGACGAGCTTCCACTCTCAGTCGTCCTCTCGTCCTTCGTCCGGCCTATTCCGCCCGGGTGTGCTACTACCATCCGCCTGATGTACATAGCACTAAGGGAGAGGAGTGTACGTTTGCCACCTAACATCCACATCTCTATCCTTTCATCACCACCAAAGAAAAGACAAGAACTAAATTATCTCAGTCTTCATCCCCCCTTCCTACCCAGACAACTTGGAGGATACTCCCAGTCTTGTCAAAAAGCCAGAAAAGGACATGGGCCACTGGGAAGAGATCCATGCTACCTCTAGTGAGACCTCGGTGCGTTCCATCTCCCCCTACCCCTTCGTCATTAAGGTAAGTGGATTATGAGAATCGGCTAAGGCACAAACAACAGGTCAAAGCCGACCGTGGCGATATCAATATCCAGCAGCAGAAGCAGCAGCAGCGGACCACTACTCGGGATCTGGATAAGGATCTAGGGGAGGAAGAGCCGCCGAAGCTGGATGAGATGTGATATCAGGGAGGAGTTGATCATAATGTCTGATAGGGTTATGGATGGGTATTGGTGTGGTTATGAGTTATGACCGAGAATGTTGTGTTTGAGCTGTTCCGTTCTTCATTTCGGTAAGGTGAAACAGACTGTCTGTTATTTAAAATTGGTGAGTGGGGTTTTCTTTCACTGTCTTTTTCTATTTATGGGTGTATTACTGTGTCGATCGCTGGTGCCGATCTTTATGTCGGTCGTTCTTTTTCTATTTCTATCTATCTATCTATCTATTCGGCGATAGTTAGCCGATTGTTATGACTATGATATCGAGAAATAATGACATGACATGATTCATCCGTTATTCATTGTCGACCAAAAGTCTAACATTATAATACCGAGATCTAGAAATAAGATAAAAACGGATAATACTTCTATGCATGCTCTACTTGCTGCACCGTGCCCTCGACCTTCTGGTCAACGCGAGCTTCCAGCGCATGCTGCCCCGGGGTGACAGTACGTCCACCCTTCGAGGTAAACACACCTCCGGTGATTCCACCCTTGTGGAAAAGCAAGGGGATATCCTCGAGCTCGAGGCCCTTGGTCTCCGGGTAGAAGAAGTACACCATGGGGATGAAGACGGCGTTTAAAACCGCAAATATAATAAAGGTGCGCCAGCCGATATTGTCTACACGTATCATATGTCAGTATGACTTTCCCGATGGTTTTTCAAATGCCGCAAAACCTACCAAATGCAATTGGAGTGATCTTCACCACGGCAAACACGGCCATCCAGTTCCATCCGGACGCAATGGCCTGCATTCGCGTCCGTACCCGCGTTGTGTTCAGCTCGGCTGGGTAGAACCACGGGACCGGTAGCCAGCCGACGCCGTAGAAGATCTGGAAGATGAAGATGAAGACGGTCGCTCCGTAGGCACAGTCCTCGCGGTCTAATGAGAGCAGTATCGATACCATAACGAAGCACAGACACAAGCCCGCTGAGCATACCATGAGCAGGGTACGTCGGCCGTACCGGTCCATCAGAAACACCGGGATTGCCGAGCCGACCAGGTAGGTGCATTGCATCGCGCCACCAAGTATTAATGACAAATTTCGATTCATATTCATGGTTTCTTGAAACATGACAGGTCCCCAGTAATTGATCATATTGCTACCAGTGAATTGTTGCCCTAATTCAATGGTGATGGTGATAAAAAGACGTCGGAGGTTCTGTACCTCGCCCCAGGTGAACAGCTCCTTGACGCGGAACGGACCGTCCTTTTGTTCCTCCTCCAGCACGAACTGAATGTCCATGATTGTCTTGATGACGTTTGCATCGTCGATGGTAGTATCCTCGATGGCAGCAACCACAGCGCGGGCTTCATCGTGTCGGTCGTGTTGGACCAGCCAACGAGGACTTTCGGGGAGACCGACCACCTGCAAGATGAGGCATATGGCGAAGACGGCCTGGAAAGCGAGGGGCAGGCGCCATTCGTAGGAGGAATCAGTAAAGCTGGTACCGTAGTCCATCCTACACAAATTGACTCTCTGTTAGATTTGGGCTTTGTAAAGGAGGAGGAGGGGGGCGGCATAGGACAGTCTCACCAGTAGGCGATCACCACGCCCAGGATAGTGACAGTGCCCTGCAGTGTGAGCAGAGTACCACGGTATGCTGCTGGAGAACATTCACTCTGATAGACTGGGGCAGTGGAAGAGTTCATTCCGTTACCCAGCCCGGTAACGATTCGGCCGACCAGCAGCTGTGCTATTGTGTAGGAGGAAGCGAGGATGACGGTGCCGATGATCATGATGAACCCGCCCATCATCAGCATGGTTCGTCGACCCATTCTCTCGCCGATGAAGTAGCAGATGATGGATCCGATAACGCAACCGATATCGTAGAGACCGGTGATATTACCCTGCATCGCTGCGTCGGGGTTGTTGAAGTCGCGGGCGAAGCGATTATCCGCGCCTACAATGCCGGACATGACACCTATAAACCCCATATTGTTAGCTACCTATGCACCCCTAGGCATTTTCAGGAAACAGTGAAGAAACCAACAAACCTTGGTCAAACCCCAGCAAGAGAAAGGCCTGGCAAGAGGCCATAGTAATAGCAATGATCAGGGCCCTGCCCCGAAAGTCATGTTTCCAAAGACGCATCTTGACTGTCGTCGAGGGTGACTCTAGTACATACCCAGATGGATAGAACTGGACAGAAAGGGATGAGAGAAAGGACAGGACAAGCTCAATTAAGCATTTGGATCTCGCTGGACGCCAGTCGGTCTAATACACCCGAAGCCAGGACGGGAAGCTCCTGCAGTCCAGCTGCCAGCAACTCGCCGTGGATTGTCCCGAGCAGGGCACGTCTACTCCGGCTGGGCAGGCAATACCGATGGCTGGCCGGGTCTTGATTGGCCCTGATGGTTAGGCGTGGTCGGGGGATCATCGTGCCGAATTGCGGGGTACCCCGTGGGAAAAGGGTTCCCTGACTAACCGGAGATGCTTAAATGGTATTCACCGCTGGATGTTCATGACTCTCCACCGGAGGAGGGTACCGGTAGTTCAAGGAGTAGAGCTATCAACCATGGTTATGACATATGCAAAATAGGGATGGGTCGGGGAGTATGCTGGACGTAATTGCATATCAGTGAAGCAGCAGGGACCAGGATTCAGGGGCCTCGTACTAGCTTGGTTCAATATGGCAGTGGCTTTTTAGGGGTAGAGTCGCTACATTAAAGCCATGCAAAGAGATAGTAAAAGACCGTAGTGGTAGTTGTGCTGGCTACGGTGGTGTTGTGTTGTCCTCGAACGATGTGTTTTGGTTTACCTGTTTAAGATGGCCGTCAACAATGGCGCTAGTCAGTCTTTCGGGCTCTCAGGGTTCAGAATCGCCAGTCGAAGGAGCCTGGGGGTCTTGAGCTCTAAATATCAGAATAATGAGGGTATAGCTCTCGGGCCTGCTCCGTGGCTTCAAGCACTTACAACGACGCTCCACTCTCTTTTTCCGGTCCGGCTTGACACTTGCTAGTCGTCCATGACAGTAGCAGTGTTGCCGAAAGCCAAGAGACCCTTACAGTAGCATGCTTGGAGTAACTTCAGCATTATTATTTAAAGCTGCTTCTCATGTCTCTCTCACCCTTGGCAGTTCTTGTCGCTGCAATGAAGGTGTAGTCTAATGCCTGTTGCAGGTAGGATAATACAGAAATGTCGGAGAACAATGTCGCGGCCTAGGTGTCTGCACCCAGATGTGATCATTGGATTATGAATTCAGTCAAGAATTGGACGCCGATCGGGACTGATTATATACAGAGGAGAAAATTAGTCACTTCAGGAGAGCATTTAGCAGCTCTCTTCAGTGCTGTCAGAAGAGGTCTCAACGGTGATGGTGGCAGACCCGCTGCTCTCGTATCCCTCAGTGGCGACGATCATGTAGTTGAAGGTACCAAGCTCCAGACCAAGGTTCTCCCAGGCATCGAAGTGGTTCTGAGTGGTGACAGTTCCACCGATACGGCCCTCAGTGCGGACGGACCAGTACTGCTTGAAGGTGGCAGTGCCCTCGACCGAGTCGGCGTCCTCGCGGGTGGTCTGGTAGATCTTGTAGGTTCCGTCGTCGCTGTCGACGGTGCCGAGCTCGGTCAGGCCAGAGGAGGGGTCGTAGTCACCGTACTTGTCGACGATGTAGAATTCGACCAGGGGAGAGGTGGTCCAGCCGTAGACGGACAGATAGGCGTTGGCGTCGGTTTCCCATGATCCGCTGTAGGTAACGGCCCTGAATAAATGGTTAACACCCTATAATCCCAGAACAGCTGTGGGGATGTCCTTACTGAGCACTGCCAGGGTTCCAACCCTTGCCGGCCACGAAGTCACCACAGTCGGTCCACTCAACGGTGTATTCACCACCGTCGCCGTTGGTGTAGGTCACGTCGCCCTCACCGTTGGTCCAGAAGGAGTAGAAGTAGCCGTTGCTCTCGCCTTCCGCAGAAGAAGTAAGACTGCGCTTGGCCATGTCCAGCAAGGCCTTGCTGTTGGGGAGAGCGACGGCGCTCGAAGCAGCCGAAAGAGCGAGGAGAAGAGACGAGTAGGCGACCATGATGAGGTACTTATAAAGAGTGACGATGATTGTTCGGTGTGCAATGGAAACGGTCGGGGAAAGAGCGTGAGTTGCAATGCAGGAAACTGGTTCCGCGACCGTCCTTATATGAAGGCGAACAGCAGCTTTTCTCCAGTGCGATGCTCCATCTATAATCCAATCGAGCTCAAGCGTGAGCAGGGTAGTGCGACACTCATCGTTCTGTAGTTGATTAAACCGGCTGCCCTGGGCCCCTGGCGGTGTTCCTGGACAATCTTATTCAAGGCCGTGGTGTTTCAAATTAAAAGTGGGTGCCACTCCCACCCACTTTTTCTCTTCAGCGCTCCGACCGAGCCAACCCTCAGCACCGACCACTCACCAACGCCCATCCAGTCATGCAGACATAATGAAAGGTGCTGACAGGAGGAATAATCGGGCCTCGTGTGGAGAGTGGACTCGGCCGTTTTCCCCAGCAAGAAGATCCGCCGATATTGCCGGCGTCTTTGGAGTTTGGACTCCTCTCGTACACCACACACCTCCACCAACCCTGCTAATGAACGCCTTTTTTTAGCAACAATACCGCCTTAGCGCCTTTTCTTGTTCTTCATAGTCTGAATGCTGAAGCCCCTAGGCGGTCATAGCTAAGATATGTAAAAAAATGGGTTCACCAAGAGTCCCGGCAAATTCCGCTCCGACAATGATGCAGCCGAGAGGTTTTGTACAGAAAGCCAACGTTGTGAATTCGATGTCAGATGAACAACAGTCGCACTTGTTGCATGACTTTGTATCAGTGATTGAACAAGGCGTTGTTTGTCTATCGTTGATGCAGTGACACCATTAGGTCGATGTGAAGTAAGAACTCTGCCTGTCATCTTGAGGAAGAGGGAAGAGTCCCATCGGGCGAAACCAAGGAATCGAGGACTGTATCAGTTGTGGGTCTAAGATTCTTAGTAGCATGTAAGTTCACTGGGGCAAAGTAGCTGCCACTCTGGAGCTTCCAGTCGGATGCTATTGCCGATTAGCGTGTCAGTAGTGTGCGCAGCATCCGTCCAGGGGAATATTGCAGTACCCCTTCCTAAGGAACGGGGCTGCTTTCCCAAATACTTGTTGCTAGGTAGAAGTATCGAGTATAGGCACATCTGCAGAATAGCGTACTGTACCTCAGGTTCTCGCCGCAGTTGCATCCATCATGAGGATCGCTGAAGAAGAGTTTTCGTAGAATCTCTGCAAGCCATCCGTTTTGATTCTTTTGGAACACTAATCCTAAGACATTGGCAGGAAAGTCACGATATCAGTCTTATCCCGAAAAATGAAAGTAGTGGCTATTTTAAGCATCTACTACTTCCTCACCTCCGACGCCATCCTGCTAGCCAATATATTTGGCCCCACGGCAACTATGACGCAGAAGAAACTAAATCGGCGTCCAAACTAATATCTTCTAGCGAGCTTCAAATTAGAAATTCGGAGCCAGTCAGTCGATAACAATGACATTCTTGCCATTCGACTTTCCGGTCAAGTACTCCTGCCTCATCTGCTCTGCCTGCTCCAGCTTCCACTCCTTGACTTCCACGTGCAGCTTGTTCTCGTGGAACAACTGAATGAACGCCTGCGCATCAGCTGTGTCAGCAATCAAGGAGCCTACCAACGTGATATCCTTGTAGATGACCGTATGGTATGACATGTTTATCCCCTTTTCGGGCTGACCAAGCAGGACCATTGTACCGTGCTTCCGCGTAAGGGCAGCCGCTAATTCGAAGGCCGATGGATGATCAGTGGCTAGGACGGTCGCATCAAGGCCTGGATAGTCGCCAGAGATAGCCTTATTTATCTTTTCTTGGGAGGTGTCCACTGAGTCAGTGGCCAGAATGGATACGTCAGGCTTGTGCTCGTAGGATGCCGCTGCATCCAGAGCTGACTGCTTGACATCGATTGCCGCTACCTTGTAGCCCTGTTCATGGTCGTTATCATCTGTGTCTCTTTGACTTGGGCTTAATTTATTGGTTGTCTTACCATGCACTTGGCAACCTGGGTACCAATATGACCTAGACCTCCAATCCCGACAATGCCAATAGAGCCGCCTTGGGGCACATTGGCTCGGACTATGCCGCCGTAGATGCTAATTCCGGCGCACATCAGAGGTGCTGCCACTTTGAATTCCATATCATCTGGTATTTTCACCACAAATCGAGCATCCCTGCATGCAGAATTAGACAGGAGAAATACTCATTATCGAAGGATTCAGGTAGCATTACTTACGCAACCATGTATTCGGCCCACGCTCCATCAGCAGTGATACCCTTCATCATCGGGGCATCGCAATAGATAGGACGACCAGCTTTACAGTCCGGACATTTCCCTACATTCCACCCCAGTAAAGGCCGACTCAACATTGCTGCCACTAAACGACGACATCTACTAACCCCAGCCGTACTTACCACAGACACTGTCAAAATTGATGCAGCCGACCCGGTCGCCTTTCTGGAAACCTGTAACCTGAGAGCCAACTTGCTCAATTATCCCCGCCGGCTCATGCGATCCAATAAACGGTAACCGGGTTCCAAATTCACCGTTTAGAGCCATCAAGTCGGTATGACAGAAGCCCGCAGCCTTGATGCGTACTAATACTTGATGTGGCTTTGGGTGAGGGACAGGCACCTCGAACACATGGTATGGCTCGTTGTATTTTTGGATTTGGATCGCTTTCATCGTTTTGGATTCCATGTTGACTGGCACAAAGTATAAACAGTGTTCGAATACTGAGTACTGGTATATGGATGAGAGTCTTGTGCCGATATAGATGCTGAAGGGAGGGTAGCCAAGAGATTTATTGACATCATCTTACCAATCAATCCGTCGGTCCCCAATTTGGGGTAACCCGCCGTGTAACTAACAAGCCAAGAACATCCTCGACAGTGGGCTTTGGGGAAAGTCAGAGATGGGACGGTGGTTTTACATTAGGAATATTTGCAAAAAAAAAAACTTAAAAAATAGAAACAACAATAAAAATAAGAATAATAATAATTAGAAAAAAAAGAAAAGCAAGACTTCCCACAAGCTACTTGCGAAGGTGAAAAGAAAGAAAAAAAATGATTGAGCTCCGATAGGGGGAATCGAACCCCCGGCTGCCGTGTGAGAGACGGCGATGTTAGCCACTACACCATATCGGATCTTGTTGTATATCTGACATACTTTTTGACGTTATAAGGCCTTTTCTATTGTCTCATCTCATTCTGTCAAATTATCGGTTTTGATGTCTCGGGGCTTGTCATTGCATGAGTAGGTTCAGCAAGCCAACTCCAATTGTAGTATGGCTCATCCCAATCAACAGGTCCGAGAAGTCTCTTTTCAATTCTCATCTTAATGTTGCAGTCAAGACATTGGGGGTACCCAGAGGGTTCTCCCGATGATATATATATCGACCGCCAAATGAGGTATTACTTACCACTTCATCCATGCCATACTACGTGAACGATAGCAAGACAACATACTACCGCATACTACTGGAACACCAATTATCTCTACATGACAGTGGAAATATGCACAATGTCGAAGCATAAGCTACCCCCCCATAGGGCCCAAAACAACCGGGCAAAGAACACCGGACACTTCGTTCATTACATCCAGAATCGGCGGTCATGTGGTACTTTCATTGCGAAGGTTCTCCCCCCGGGGGCGCATGATGTGCCTTCCACTTTTGGGTAAAAAGCTGGCAGAGCAGATGACATATCCAAATAGTCCATATGGAAATCGACCTGCATGGACGCGTCACTCTTCTCCTAGTTCGATCTACAACCGGACTTAATCAGCCCAACTCTTTCGATGCCATGCGATCCTTCACCTGCAGATAGACGCTCGTGGGGTATGCAGGCACACAGACTGAATCTCATGCAGCAACGCATGGGGACAATTCGCTTAGGATACATACACCCCCACTACCGCACCTTCCTAGCACTAACAGTCGTTAGGCCGAGTTTACAAGACGTCTCGCAATGCTCTGAACTATCCAACTACAGTGGTCACGAAGTGCTACAAAATCATTTGCTGGGTCATCTGATGAGATAGAGTCCGTAGAGACAGACATGTTTATTCCGGTAATGCCTATCGCGTCGCTATTACTGGTTGTTGATAGGTGGACATGCATGCAATTTATGGACTCTCGAAGCATCTCCGGCGATGAGCTGCAGGAATACGAGGGTAATGCAATAACACGCAAGTTAGCGGCCTTTATTGCGGCAGAAATGACAAGCAAAGGATGCGGAGAATAATCTCAATCGTGTGCAGGATGTCGGGCAGATAGACATGGAAGTGATGCAGGTATAGAAGGCGGCATGTACATGGCATATGAGGCAAAGAACTCGCGTGAACGCCTCCTTATCACTTGGTAATAACTCATAGGTCTTGGAGCCCCAATGGAACTCACAATGATACGTTGATTAGGTGCTACCTGCAATTCGAGCCAAGCAACGTACGAGTGAATTCAATCGTTCAGAGCAGCGATAGCCGAGCCACGACCACATGTCACTCGCTGGCTCCAAGTGATATATGCTATCCGGAATACATGCCGCAAAGACATTGTGGAGGCTTGCATTTCGAACACCGAATGTGAGAAAGGGTCGTCATGCAGAGGCGGCATATAGGGAGAATGCGGATGGGAAGAGAATTCCCCCTCACCAATCCCCACTGGCGGGTACCATATAGCCCGTCTGCAAATATTATGTCGATTGTTTACTTCGTTTGATTGTTTAGACAAACTCATGCACGGTCCGACAACCAAGATGTGTGGCCGGTGGAGCTTTCGCAAACCCGACCCTAATCGGGTAAGCGCGATATCGGCGTCCCAACTTCAGGTACCAGACGGAAAAAAGACACATTCTGACCAGGCAACAAACTACCCAGAGTTGTCATTGCTTTGCGATGTCACATCAAAGATAAGAAATGAGTAGCCAGAGCCCACTACTAGAGCTTGGCAAGGCGATCAGTGGCTCGATTTCACGGCTTCCCCAGGGTTGCTGGGATCTACAGTCTAGTTCGGAAGATGTGGCTAAACAACCTTATTTTCTAGGTCTCCCGTGCTGAAAAAAGTGTCTGACGAGGAGGATGAGACAGTTACCGCAATGTGCTCCATACGATACCATAACCATGCGGCACCAAACCAGTCCCTCCCCTCTGACATAGCATTACAACCAAGTAGTTAGCTCCGAAATCCGCTTTGTTCTCTCATGCGTACTAATCTACGCATCATGTTTGATTTGATTCCATCATTAGGGGGTCTGAGCATGATCAAGAGGCTTCAGATCAGTCATCTGTGCGCTGCAGACTCCGTCTCGACCTAGATCCACCGCTCCCCACCCCCACAGCATCCTCCCCAGCGTCCGCGTTGAGGGCCCAATAACATCCAGCGGGAAATAACTGGTAAAGTCCACCTATGAAAAGTGACGAGTTGATTTCACATATCGGAGACATGGCTTTTTTGGGAAGATGATATGTGGTCCCTGGCTCCGGGGGTCGCAAGGAAAAAAGGTCCCATGTGGGGTGTCAGGAGGTATTGTCCACTGAGAAGCCAGACACTCATTAGCATGTGGAAATCATTTACATTGCAGAAGAAATTGAGACCTCGGCTCCACTGATGATCAGTCTAGCGAACTTCCTGGCGAGTAACATCAACAGAGCCATCTCTGGGCCGCAGAGAGACGGATAGAAGCCGCGCAACTCAATCTCTTCGTTGTGAGTCGGAAAAGTGATTGCCCAACGACGCAGCATTCGTAGATCCTTACCTCCGAGCAGCCATGTCCGAGATTGTAGTGTCTGAGCTATATAAGAAACGACATGTCCTCTCCTTGCCATTATGATCATCCAGCCACATCCTTCATCCTCAGCATCTGTCTCTCTTTCTCTGCGTCCCTCATTTCCTGATTGAGTCCTCCATCCCATACCCAGTCAAGATGAAGGCTTTCAGTCAATTGCTTTTGGCTCTATCGCTTGCATCAGTGGCTGTTGCAGCAGCATCTTGCAACACATCGGCCCTGAACACGACCACTTATAATTATTACATCACGGTGGATGACACAACAGTTTTTGATGTTGCACGTGCCACCAATCGCGGTGTTTGTGATATCGGCCGCCAGAACCTCATGGCGGATGTAACTATTGTTCCGAATGTGGGCGAGTACTTCATCATCCCTCCCGAGGTGTGCGAGCCAGACAATACATCCTGTCTCTTGCCAAACATCAATGCTACACGCACCTGCATTTACGGCGGACCTCGTCTATACTACACCGTTCGAGGAGACACTTATGAAGTGATTGCCCGCCGACTGAACATCACGGTGGAATCACTGATGCACGTGGATGGGCCTGCAAATGAGACGTTAACCAATCCTACTTCCCCGACGGCGGAGTTGGATGTTGGCCAGTTTATCAAGGTGCCTCAGTGCGATCCTAGTCAGTGTGTCATCCAGCCTTACGTCTTCAAATGGGGTGTATACAAGGACCTTGCAGAGAAGTATGGCACTACAGTGGGCCAGATCATGATGATGAGCCCGACGTACAACTACAGCAGCTTGGCTTTCTCACCTGAGGGCATGTACCCTCCGATCAACCTCCCGATTAACTGCACGGCATTGTCGAACAACATGACTACCCTTGATTAGTTTTTTTTTATTGGGGGTTATGTGGGAGTTGTGTCTTCATCATCATGTACTTTATGATGTCTTGCGTGGAAGAATGGGGCGTGCCGTGGACTGCAGTAGTGGAACAGATGCACAGGATACAAAATATGCTGCGAGAAGACACGGACGACAAGCATATACTTGAGACGATGCTACATATCATTTTTGTATTGTGCATTGTGCGCAAACGATACTGTATATATGAGTTGGTACCTCCAGTAGTAGGTAGAAACCTGCTAGTGTATAGTTACTTGGTATTCACAGCGTTAATTGCCCGCTTCAGTAGTACTACTAGCGCTTTGGAACAAATGAACGGATTGATTGGCTGGGATTATTTACCAGACTGTTCCGAAAATGCCACCCGACTTGCCAATGGATCACTACTGCTACAGCGCCTAATTTACCATAATTTTCGAAATTCCGATACGCCCAAGTAACCACTTGGGATTCCAAGTCACACGTGGATTTGTTTGCATCACCTGACTAATCTGACCGGCGCTTCCAGCACATAAACAGAGGGGACTGCTGTAGCGTTTTCCGTTTCCTGCAAGCTTCCTCGATCAAACCTGCTGCTTCTAGGCCGAATACCGCGGACCAGGCTCAAACAGCCCTTGATTCTGGTAGAGTGTTTAAAATGACATCATCTCATCGTTGTTCGTTCGAAAGCGCGAAGAACCCAGGAATTAGCGAAGTGGATACAAGTGGGCGACATCCCGATGGCCTATGCCCGCCCGAATTGTATAGGGTCAGTAATTTTCTCCTTAAGGCCTTTTAAGGAGTGCAGCATATTTTGTGCTACCTTTTCCCATTGAGGTTCATAAATTTAACCACTAACCTTGTGATGCTTACAGATTGTCGCTGACAATGACACGCTTCAACCCAGCAACCGACAGCTACATGACGCCTTGACTTTGAGCAGAGAATATTGGTATCGCCTCTCAAGGACTGCCTGTTACGTCCATGGTAATGGCGTCAACCCAGAACTTGCTCATCCTCACCACATGCTATGCAAAGTTCCCAGTATGCACGGAGGGCCGCACACGACCCATGCGCTTCATATTGGTGCCTCTCCTTCCCGGATACTCTGTCTTCAGGCATCCGTTAACTGGCAGCTGGATGAATCAACAGTCTGCGACCGTGCGAGAGATAGAACAGATACCGTTCTTCTACATATTGGCACGAAAGCCGCAGTCCCTTATACCCTAAATGGCAAGGACTTCAGCTTTTGGATTGGAATGGAGAGTGAAGAAGTACCAGGTCCAAACTACCTGGCTGTGCTTACATTAGGGTGGTGCTACGTCCTATCTGCTCGCCTCCTTGAGATTTATGGGAGAAATTCCGCGATGAGATATACGGACTTTAAAGCGACAGCACATTATGAATCTAATCCTAAACCTACAATGCATACTGTCGATATTGGCGAGGTCAGTGACGATACAGCTTCCTGGTGGCTATCAGTATTAGCTTCTGGCGAGGGCTGGAAGGCTGCCATCAAACAGAGTGATGGTGGAGAGTATCTTACGCCCTGGTCAGTAACCCGTCCTTCGGAACAATCACTCGCAATCAAATGGCGGAGTAAGGATTCAACTGAAGCTCAAGCTCCTTCCCTAACACCCCTGTCGTCCCAAAAAGCCTTTGAGGCTCTCTCATAATCAAAGTTCTCGGTTATTGCAAGATGGGCTAGAAACAAGAAGAACGAGGTGGATCCGTAAAAAAATTATATCTTGGCCTGATTCGATTTCAGAAAATGGTTCTTTAGATATCCAGAGAACTGCGATGAATATGTAGGTCAGATGAGGTGTCTGCCTATGATTGATCTGCAACTGTGAATGGTCCAAGTCGAAAAGCAATTTGCTGGAGTATTAAACATAAAACCATTAATTCCAGAGAGGAAAGGTACGGACTTTTATTTTTTTGACAAGCGCGGCCGGATAAAATGCTAAGAAACAGGCGCATTTGGTTGCAGGGAAGGCCAGACTCCGTAAGGCCAGGATCAGTAGTAGTAGTAGTTTTAGGATCATTCGGAGGGACCAGCTGCACCAAGCAAAGGCCAACATACTTGGCTCACGTTTGCTAATGTCCAACGCACCGGAATTGTCATTACCAAGATCATAGTACGTATCGTTCTCCAACTTTTACCCAATCGTGCGGGGATGTTCTGCAGCATCATTTTCACCAACACTCGGTAACCCGGAGTGGCCTTACGCCTTGGAATTGATCCAACGTGAAGACTCCACTGTGATACAGATAGACAATGCGAAGAAGCAATCTTCGGGCTATCCGAGAGAAACATCATTGTGGCGTGATCAAGTCCGGACTTTGTAGGTCTCCACGCAGCGGCCCGGGGTTTGCTGCTATGTTGTAATATCGGTGGGCCATCCCTGCATGGGCTATCTGAAAACCGAGCTTATCCCGGAAATGAGGCAGACAGGCACTATCAGATCCCAGGTTCCGTTCTCATCCGAGATGTCATGTCAACGGGATCTGGGGGTCACGGCAGATCAACCGTTAGGAGCTATTTTCCGTGAGTCCACTTTGCTTGGCTCGCAGTTTGAATTGTGCTATCATCGGAGCTTATGAGGGGCTTGGTTTGTCGCCTCATGCGATACTCCTCACGTCTCCTCCACTCCTGCAATGCTCAAGCCCACCTTATCAGCATGCCAAATCCCGGCACGATGGGACAATTTTTCAAACAGTGCCCCGTGTGCACTTGTTGATGGCATACAATCTTGGGAGAGAAGAAAGCAGACACCGTGCTCCGTGGCTCCCGAATCAAATGATCAGGAAGATGCAAGACTCGCTGTTGGAGATGTGCGATATGACAGTCGAACATATAAAGGGAGACAACTTCTCATTGGAATTTCTCCCATCATCTACAACAGCATCAATCATCTCAACAACATCTCTCCTAACAAAACCACCTAACTCATCAAACCATGGCTCCCTTCCTGAAGAAGTACAAGGCCGCAGCAGTCAATGCTGAGCCTGGCTGGTTCAACCTGGAGGAGTCCGTCCGCCGGACCATCCACTGGATTGACGAGGCTGGCAAGGCCGGATGCAAGTTCATTGCCTTCCCCGAGCTTTGTAAGGCCTCCCACCTGAATGTATCAGAGACTCTCGGCTAACCCTAGAATAGGGATCCCTGGATATCCCTACTGGATGTGGAAGGTCAACTACCAGGAGAGCCTGCCTCTTCTGAAGAAGTACCGCGAGAACAGCCTTCCGTCCGACTCGGACGAGATGCGCCGGATCCGCAACGCAGCCCGCGCCAACAAGATCTACGTGTCTTTGGGCTACTCGGAGGTGGACTTGGCCAGTTTGTACACCACTCAGGTCATGATTTCTCCGTCTGGCGATATCATCAACCACCGCCGCAAGATCAGAGCCACTCATGTTGAGCGCTTGGTGTTTGGCGACGGCACCGGTGACACCACCGAGTCGGTCATTCAGACTGACATCGGCCGCGTCGGCCACCTCAACTGCTGGGAGAACATGAACCCCTTCATGAAGGCGTATGCAGCCTCTTTGGGCGAGCAGGTCCACGTTGCTGCCTGGCCACTCTACCCTGGTAAGGAGACCTTGAAGTACCCGGACCCCTTCACCAACGTGGCGGAGGCCAATGCGGACGTAAGTTCTCCTCTGAAAACCCTTCTTTGTTTTGATGTCTGAGGGCTGATGAAGACTGCGCAGCTTGTCACCCCCGCCTATGCCATCGAAACCGGCACGTACACCTTGGCGCCCTGGCAAACAATCACCGCCGAAGGCATCAAGTTGAACACTCCCCCTGGCAAGGATCTGGAGGATCCCCACATTTACAACGGTCACGGTCGCATTTTCGGCCCCGACGGCCAGAACCTTGTTCCTCACCCTGACAAGGACTTCGAAGGACTCCTGTTTGTTGATGTGAGTTACTTTCCCCTTTCGACCGACGTGCAGAATGCTCACATTTCTACAGATTGACCTGGATGAATGCCATCTCTCCAAATCTCTGGCTGACTTTGTAAGTGATTCCCCGAGCGCATTCTTTACATCTTGCTAACTGTTCCACCCAGGGCGGCCACTACATGCGTCCCGACCTCATCCGCCTGCTGGTCGACACCAACCGAAAGGACCTCGTCGTTCGGGAAGACCGCGTGAACGGAGGGGTTGAGTATACCCGCACTGTTGACCGAGTTGGGCTTTCGACTCCCTTGGACATCGCGAACACCGTGGATTCGGAGAACTAGAGTCACCCCTATGTGTCGGTTCATTGGTAACCGGCCTTGTTCCTCTCCACTCCGTCCCGTGTCAAACCCGATAGGTTCTCATGACGAGATATTGATGAAGTTCGACTTGTACATTAGAGTTATTTGAATGAACGCACACATCTGCTTACCAGGCTCCTTTTTCGGGTAGACATCGTGAAAAAAGAAAAGCCTTCCCTCCCTTCTTTCTTCGGACTTTCCATTCTTGCAGCATATCTTACTTTCTCGGTTGGACATTAATATAACATTGCTGTTGGTCATAGTAAGAATAGAGATGTAGGTATACCACACCGACACCCCACGGCTATAGACGGCGACACTGTGGACAGTGGCGCACGGGATTGTAGGCTCTGCAGCCAATTCCAAAAACCGGTTTGGGGCGACCACTCGGAGAGTCTCATGCAGGGACGCAGCTAGCCACGGACATTCCTCGTACTTTTCGCACTCATTATTCTGCTGTGTGTGTTGCCCCTGTTGTTGCAGCAAATGGGAAAGGACAGCCGATATTACATGCATAGTCGCAAAGGCCCCCGAATAACGTTCGCCCCGCAAAGTTGGCCGGAGGGAAAAGGTTAGTAGGGATTCGGTATCGGGATTTGCTTGAACTCGTGCGAATCAGAGTGAGCATGACACCAATTAAGAACGGTCAGAGGGCTCTTCTGCTCCATAATGGATCATACGATCTCCCGCACTGGATCTCGATAAAGTGAAGGCAGAAGTGGGAACAGGAGCCGACCGCGGGTCCATGGCGATCGAACCGGGGTTTGCTGAGCCCGGGATTTGCACCACCGGCTTTTGCATAAATCGGTTGTGGCCTCGACGAACACCTCCTCTCGGACCTGAAAGTCCGATTTCCACTAGTAACTAGTTTACTTGGTTTTCTCTGTACAATGGGATCGCCTAAGACATTCATTGACGTCGCCCGCCCAGGGCATCGCAGGTTCTGCAAGCCCCCCGTCAAGGTCGCCTGCCTTTCGTGGTAGGTTCTGCCGCCACTGATGTTTTCATAACTGTAAGCGCTCACAGTTCCCGACAGTCGGACGTTGCGGGTGCGTTGCGACGGCCAGGAACGATGCTCCAACTGTGTCGCCAAGGATACAATATGTTGCTATGTTCCTAGTAAACGAGGCGGTCCACGAAACTGCCAGAATCGCAAGCGTAAACGGGCATCAACGCCCCCGACAACAGTCTCTGATGCGCCAGATGAAGGGTATCAGACCCAAAAGAGATGTAGCCCCATCGTTGAGGGTCCGCCGTCGAGCTCGGATGAAGATGGTACACAGCCTAGGCAGTTGTCGATGTATCGCAGAAGACCTTAAGCTGATGATTTCCCAGGCTGGCTCAGCCAGATCTTGAGCCTGGGCGCCCCAGGCGCAGGACTGCGCAGTGTCGAAAGCTCCGTTACCGAAATGGAAAAGATATTTGATTCAATATTCATGGTTGATGAACCATCCATGGTACCGGAACCTCCTGTCCCTCCACCGGATTTGTTGCAGACGTACGCGAGTGATGCGGACATGTAAGAATCAACCAGACATTCCGCTAAACTGTTCTGACCGGCGCAGACTGGACGCCTACTATGTCTTCATTCACATTTTTTATCCGATATTGCCTCCCCCGGAACGGGTGCCAGTTTACAATCGTCCTTTGTCCGAGAGGTCACCTTTTCGACCTTCTAGTCCTCTTAGCTTAGCCATATCAGCCATTCTCGCCCTTATACCGCATCCCGAGGTGAAACAGCCTTCACGCTCGGAGTATGTGAAGCTGCGTCGAGACCTTTCCCATTCTTTTGCACAGTCTGCACTAGAGGCCGTGGAGACTGACCTTGAGCTGCTGGACTCTTCGGTTGATCCATCGAAAGCTCTTTCCGACGGCGCACCCCAGTATCGGCGGAAGGAATTTCACAGCAAAGTGCCCGTTTGTCTGGAAGCGGTTCTAGCATTGGTGGTGCTGAGCGTGTATGAGTATGCTCAGAGAGGGAACATAAACAAAATGTGTAATCGGGCGGGGCAAGCGTTGACAGCCGCCATGAGCATGTCGCTGCATGAGATGGTCGATGAGGATGAATACTCTGAGGCCCGTCGGAGAGCTTGGTGGATCACAGTCAGTATCTCCTCAATATTGACAGACAAATTGCGCTAACATCATAAAGTATTTGACGGTCTGCCAAGGATCAATTGTCAGCGGGATGGTATGTAGTCGTGCTCCAGGTCTCAGACATGCGTAACTTACACATATAGCCCCCTGCCATTAATCCGTATGACCCTCGATTTGTGACACCAATTCCAGAGGTGAGTACCTAGCTCTCGTGGTTAGATAGATTCTGACACGTACAGGGATGGAAACTGCTCATCGAGGCCCAGCAGACCATTCTCGAAGCCACAACCTTTGTTCACGATTTGGATTTAACCACAAAGTCACACTTCAATGCCTCTTGGGTGCCTCAGCGGATGACCGAGCTGGACAACCAAATAACGTGTCTGCTGCATCCATGTCGCGTGTCGATTCACGACTCGACCATAAAGTCGCCTGGCGCAACCCAGGGCTCACCGGACGTCATTGCCCTGCATACTATAAGACACATTGCAGAGATAAAGCTACACAGGTAAATGCCTGCATACCATCCTTGTATCAGACATGACTGACTCCATGCAGCGCTAGGATTAAGACCCACCGGTTTTGCGCTTTCCAGGATATCCCCGTTTTTCGAAAGCGCCATTGCGACCTGGATGCAGCTGCAGGGCCCAGATGCTGTCGTGGGCAGGTCGCTGAAGCTTCCAGGCCACCTACCTCCTCACCTGATAGCTTTTTATCCTCCGTGCTCTCCGAGCCCGCAGCTATAGATTTTCCGTTTTCCGCACACGCGTCCTCGAAAATCTGCCTTCATGCAGCATTAAACATTGTCAGCCTCCTAGACAGCCTGCCGTATCCAAATCCGACGAACGAGATTCCATTGACTAACCCACCTTACCTTTCACGCAACTCCCGGGTTGAGATACCACGTATGATGCCGACTTTTGCCTGTTGTGCCATGCAGTCGAGCTATGCGATGATCATGTTGTGCTTGAAGGCCCGGGCGATGCGTGAGCCGGTGGGGAATGACTTGACTACATCGAGCAGCCGATCTCTAGGCGGGTTCCTGGATGAACTGCGACAGAGCCTGCGGCAGGTTTCGAAGGCTTTGGCAAACTATGCGATTGCGTTCGAAGCACTCAACGGGATGAGGGGTACGTGATTCACCTGAACTTCGTATAAAACGATCACGAGCTGACGATGAAGTAGATGAGATCGCAAATTCTGTTGAAACAATTTCTATGAATGACTGATAATCGCGTTGAGGCATATTGACTTGCAGAGTACACAGAGTACACTTTAGAACAGTAGTCCTGGTAGACTGCTTGATCACCCATTAATGAGAAGAGGGAGTTGAAAGTTCTTCCATGAGCAAAAGCAAAAACATACCAGCTGCCAGAATCAACTGAGTCAAAGAAGAGGAATACCTGTCCAATGCAATGAAGTATCTGTTAACCTCTGGAGGTTCATAGTATAGCTGTTGATGGTGTATAGACATGGATGGGGCATCGCTTAGGTGGGCCCATCTCACCGCCTAGTCTGTCAGCAAGCGGATAATACTGCCGTCTCCCACAATAATCCGTGGGGAAAATATTTTGTCAACGACTGTCAAACCTGACAGAAGAAATCTGAGTCACAAGCACGGGTAGCTTGATTTGGAACTATGTCTATATGAAAGATAAATAGTTTCAGACTGAAAGAGCATTAAATCAAAGAGAAAAAAGAATATAGAGACCGTTTTGCTAACATTATCATAGAAATGTGTCCAACGATGGATGTCCTCAACAGTGAGAATAGTCTGAAGCTATATATATAGTATAGCCATTCCACGATTTCAGCATTACTTTCCACTTGCGCTCTATTTCTCAAGATACCATCATATTCATGCTTCATGCAAATTGCCAATGATAGGATCAATCTGATCCTCGAAAGCTATTGTGGTTGCCAAGACCTCCGCGGCCGCCAACCCCATCCGCAATCTTTGATATCCGCTATATCCACTCCACTCTCTATCCGCCCTCCGCACAACTACCAAGTCTCGCAATGACCTCACCTCGCGCAATTCACTGCACCTTCCTCATATGTCCTTTAGCCCCCCTCCAGCTGCTCTTGCCTCTGCATACACCGTCAGCCAATCAGGAGCCTCAGATCCTTACAACGCTCCCTTATGTTTGATAAGAGAGAAGCCCCACTAACCCAGTGAACCCGATGGTCGAATGGCCGGAGGACTTCAAGGTACGCTGATGAGCCGCCCAGTGTCGCCCTAAGAGAAGGCTGTTACTACCTCCCGTAAAGGTTGCAGGGAACACAGTGGCACACGTTCGAATCCCAGTCCCGGCCCCTACCGGCGTGATATCGAGGCCAGTTCCTGAAGCAGTCTTCAATGTGTGCGTCTAAGAGTGTAGGGCCCACCGGCTACAACTCGATACTAAGCACGAAGACCAGGTTAATTGAAGGGAAAGTAACTGGGTTAACCGGCACCTTTTTTTTACTTTTGTTGTTGCTTTGGTGTTTTGTTCCTTCGAGGATTGCGTGAGGCTATACAAATGTCCTACTTACTAGGAGGCTACTCCTCTGTGGTAGAGGAGAATCTAGATGATAGTGCCAGTAGGCTATTTTAGTACTTACTACCAATGCTACTAGCCATTCTGTCTTGTCTTCGTTTACCGCATCAGCGTGATTATGCCGCAATCAACCCAATTCGTCTTGCATGAAGCCATCCCCATCGGTTCTTCTCATCCTGTACTTACCCTCCCACTCCCCTTCTCCCTCCCGTACGGTACCTGCCCTTCCGCACCACCACGCATGTATACTTATTGTAATCTTTTTCCTGAGTCGGCTAATTTGAAGCTATTCAAATCACTCCGTCCCATCCAACATGCTGCCTTTACTAGGAGCCTTCCAACACACCTATTAGTGATCAACACCTATCGTCAACTAGTATAGAAGACATGGAGCCTCATTGGGATTTGCCAGTTTCTTATTGATCAGTGAGTGCATCTTGAAGCCTTGGTCTTTATATGCCACTTTCTTTACTGCCATACCCTTCGAAGAGTAGTTCATCTCTTGATCATCACTCCACAACAGGTAGTTGCCTTTCCACCCTGACAATGAGCACGTTCCTATATCCACTCCTCTTGATACTATTCCAGTACTTATGTCTTTCCATTATTGGCACTGTCAACGCAGCTGTTTCTGTTCTTCCTTGGTTCCCACCAACTCATCCAGGCCCGACCGATGATTCCTACACGCCGATATCCGGCTCCTCCACACTACTGCAATCTACTTAGTTTGTCCCAATCATCGCGAGCTATCAGTGGGTCCGTTCTTTACTTGATCATTTATCCCAGACATCAAGGAGACTAACCATATGTGTCTGTCTAGGTACTTGATCCGTCGTATCGCGCATTATTCCTCATATATAAGACGAGAGAACAGATCTGTGCCACGACGGTGCACCCGAACGCTGGAGGACCGCATTCAAATTGCTATAAAAGTCGGATTCATTTTATAAGGAACAGTCGATTTGGACTGCAAATTGTGACCACCATGAGGATTGCATTGGGAATTACAAGGCCTGCGACCACATCTCTGCAGCGATCGCGATAACCCACTTTGTCATTCCCATCTACCAAGGGCTCCCGACAAAGTACCGTGACTCCTACACATCCTTTACACGATTGGTCAATTGCACAGTAAGCTATTACTACTAGTGATACTTGTGAATGGGGATCGGCGACGCGAACAAATGGCGGTACGAAGCACGGCCACCAATGGCTGATTAGCAACCTGCAGATGCAGAGACAAGTCACTCGGCATTGTATCCCCGCTCGCCCTCGATAAGACACGATCCACCTGCATGAACGAGGGGTAACACCTCCCCCAATCCATCTTCGACTCAATTCTTCAATTACCATCCTTCTCCGACCGATTTAACTTTTTCTAACCCAGCGACATCCACCATGGCTCCCTCCATGCCCGAATTGATGCTCAGCATCGAGGACATCAAGAACGCCGGATCGAAGAAACTCCCTCTTAAAGCGCGAGGTCCGCAATCACTACTATCTATTCAGACCCTACAACCCACTAACAGAGCCACAGAATTCTACAACTCCGGCTCAACCACCCAAATCACCGTAACGGAGAACTCAACCGCCTACAAGAAATACCGACTGCGTCCACGAGTCCTCGTCGATGTCTCCCAACTAGACCTACGACTCAACCTCTTCAACCAAACCTTTGACTTCCCACTCGGCCTCTCCCCAACCGGCATCCAAGCAATGGCACACCCACAAGGTGAACTAGCCAGCAGCCGAGCAAGTGCCCGCCGCAACATCCCCATGGCCGTGTCCTCATTCAGCACATACCCAGTCGAAGAAGTCGTTCAAGCAGGCCAACAACTCAACCCTTCAGCAACACACACCATGCAACTATACACCTTGCGCGACCGCGCCCTGCAAACCCAAATCATCCGTCGCGCCGAAGCATCAGGCTGCAAAGCCATCTTCCTCACAGCCGACAGTCCCGTCCTGGGATACCGCTACAACGAAACCCGCAACGACTTCCGCACACCCGAGGGCCTCTCCTGGCCCATGATGGGCGTAACCTCCGAGAAACTGCAACAGGTCACACACGACGCAGGCTTCGTCGCAACAAACTCAGACGCACACAGCTGGGCCAAAGAGATCCCATGGTTGCGGTCCGTCACGAAGATGCAAATCTGGATCAAAGGCGTCCTGACAGCCGAAGACGTCCTCCTTGCCAGAGAATACGGCTGTGATGGGGTAATCGTGAGCAACCACGGCGGAAGACAATTAGACGAGGTCGTGCCAACCATCGACGCACTGCCGGAATGCTTAGAAGCCGCAGCAGGGAAGATACGCGTACACATCGACGGGGGTATCCGGACAGGAACAGATATCTTCAAAGCATTGGCATTGGGGGCTGAGTGTTGCTGGATCGGGAGGCCGACGATTTGGGGGTTAGCTGTATGTTGTTCCCGTTACTTACCCAGACGAAAGCAAGGGAGAGTGGCAGTATGCTAACTACCTGGCAACAGTATGACGGGGAGAACGGTGTCTCTCGCGTGCTGGATATTCTCTACGAAGAATTCAAACGCTGCATGCAATTGACGGGGTGTCGTACCTTGGCGGATGTCACGCCCGCCGCATTGGCGGTTCTTCGGACGGATGGACCAGCTGCGAAGTTGTAGGTACGATGTAGTTACGGCATAGACACGATAGAATAAGTAGACAGTACGCGGTTAAATCATGATGCGAAATACTATAAGACATATACTATGATATCGAAGAATTAGACGGAGCGGAGACTGATTAACAACTTCAAAGATGAACCAATTACATACTGAATAAGTTATCCAAGAATCAAAGCCTATATACTAGCCAAAAACCATATCCAATGATCTTGGACTCACAATCACGCAGGCAACACACCCTGCGGGTTATGGAACAAATCCGACGGATCATACAACGACTTGATCTGCATCAACCTCGGCAAATTCGACCCCCAGTACGCCTCGCGGGCGTTCTCAAGCCGGGGATCCACGTAACCGGGGTACACCCCATTACCCAGACCGGGGGTATTATTACGAATGATCTCGTTGACATGGTCCAGAAAGTCATACGTCGTCTGGGATACGGACCCCAGCGTGATGGCGTACGACTGCAGCCAGAACAGCGTGTCGCGGTGGGCATAGCCCGTTGCGTCCATGGGGACGTCATTTATGGCGCCGCCTTCGAGATCGAAGATGACGAACCAGAGCAACGCCCCGGTGTCTGCGCTGTCGAGGTACTCGAAGAGTTGGTCGACGCCGGTGGACGGGATGGGGGTCTTCTCGGTGAAGGAGAGACAGCGGGAGTAGAAGTCCGCGGGAATACCGCCCGTTAGGTCGAGGATGGACTGCTCGGCCCATTGGGCTACGAGGCCCAACCAGTCGGTGAAGACGATGACGGTGGAGTTGGTGTGGCCGGGGAATTGGTCTTCCAGACCGAGAGCGTCGTATTCGGCCTTGGTGCCGAAGAAGGTGCCGGAGATGACGAGAACGTGGTCAAGGATGGTGCAGATGCTGGCGAATTTGCGGGTGAGGTCTGGTTGGGAGATGAAGCTCTGCCATTTTTTGAATAGGTCGGCGCGCGATGAGGTGCTTCCGAGTCCGAAGGTGAAGGAATATTGGACTGCGGAGCCTGGTTCGGGTTCGGTGCGGAAGACGAACTCGGTGACGACGCCGAAGCTGGCGCCGGCGCCTTTGATGGCGAATAGCAGGTCTGAGTTCTGGGTAGAGGAGGCGCGCACGACGGTGCCATTGGCGAGGACGACTTCGGCTTCCAGGACGTGGTCGAGTTCCATGCCGTATTGACGCGCCGCGGGGCCCAGTCCACCGATTGTTGCGTGCCCTCCGACGCCGATCTGTGGGGAGGTGCCGTGTGCGATGGCCCGTCCGCCGGCGTTGTGAAGGTAGTCGTCGAGTTCGCCGTTGAGCATGCCGGCGCCTACGGTGGCTTGGTAGTTGGTGTAGTTCATGGAGAAGGATTTCATGTTCTTAAGGTTGATGCTGATCGCGCCATTTGTGCCGCCAAGGCCTAGGATGGGGTGAGGTTAGTACGGTGAGTGGCTGACGAGCGAGGGGAGTGAATTGGTACCATAATTGCCATAGCTATGGCCACCACTCTTGGCCTGGACTTTGTAGCCCAGCGATGCAGCGCAATTGACGATCGAGGACACTTGCTGAGTGGATTTGGGGAAGGCCACGGCTGCTGGCGTGACGGGCCAGTTCAGGTTGTAGACCTGGACGGCGAGAGTCTGATAGAGAAGGTCGCCATCAACGGCGACGAGGGTCGGGTCATTCTGCACCGCGGTGAGAAGGCATTGACGAAGAGTGGATGTCGAGGCTGCTGTCGACAGTTGCAGGACTAGGAGGAGGGAGGAAAGAACACGAAGGAAGGAGAAGACCATTGTGGACAGCATTCCACGAGGATGCGCCTTGGGCTAGTTTGGGAGGGCCGCAACGCTCTAGTGACGGACTGCAATGCGTGCGCCATGGGGTAGCAGAATTAAATATGGATCGAACTGGGAAGGTCAGGAGGGTCCGGCAGAGAGGAATGTCAGGCGGGGGCTTCATCATGCCAATGGAGCATGGATGCGCGGACGAGTGCCTGAAAGGTAGACCCAATCAGACGGGTCGACAAGAATAACCTCCGAAGCCACCGTAATACATGGACGTAACCCCCTCCCTCAGCTGAACAAGTGAACTAGTCGAAGATTATACATGGCTATCAATCGGGGCCAGGGATACCCTTGGTTGAGGATGGTTGTGATCGGAAGAGGGACGCATCTCAGCTGCACAGATGCAGAGCCCGATCAATTTCAAATGCCTTTCTGCCAATCAGACGAGACGGTACCAGAGGGGGATGACCAGAGGAGGAGAAAACTCAACCCGACTGAGCAGCTGGGGCCACTACCCGTAGAGTCTAAACTCATGGCTTCGTACAGAGATGCAGCAATACTAGCCCGCGAGCCACTTAGCAGACGCATCACCCGGACCAAGTGCTGACAACTAGGCCGTTATAGGCAGGTGATAGCCAGGGGAGAGATTTAGGCACATCAATCACGTCAGGAGGGATGCGCGTGAACTGAATCTTCAGGAACCAATGCGGGGAACGAGATGCCAGATTATTTGACATCAGTGCGCAAGGCATCTGCAAGAGAGGAAGATAGACTAGATTGCAGTCGCGCTTTGGGCTGTAAGACTGAGAGAAGATAGTGCTGGTCAGTGCCAGTGATGTCCGGATCGATCGTCCGCGAGACCCCGAGGCTAGTGGTGGCGCCGATAGTGGGCGCCAACTAAAGCTTGCAGGGGAGTGGGAAAGGGGCGGGCCAGAGAGAAGATGATGGATCAAGGGAGCGGATTCCGCGGCATGGGGCTAAATTGCGCTGCAGCTGAGCCATAATTGTCTCTGAGCATATCCCGAATCTTGTAGGAGCATGGGAGAGATGAGAGAGCATTGGAGTCGAAGAGCAATAGGAGACTATCCGTAGTCGCAGCAGTGATTAGTTTGGATAAGATTGAATTGGGTGGTAACTCAGCACGTGGGAATCTCGAATCCCGTGGATCGCGATTATACGGTCGGGAGTCTCTATTGGGGTAAGCCGCCAAGGGGGAGACTTCTGCTGTACACCATCCCCTTGACGAAGATACTGACGATTTACCTCTGAACATATTACTCATATGGGTCGGATCTTGCACATACGCTAAGAAAATATTCAATTCAGGTAACTACAATAAACCCACTATATCATAAGAGCATTACTCCCGAATGTGACGCCATGAATCTACAAAGTAAACAGCCAAATCCCGATCGCCCAACCATCATTGCAAATCGACCACCTTCACCTGAGCTCGCTCAAAATGCTCCACTTCCAACATCTTAGCCGTGGCGGGCTCCAGATCTGGGCTCGGATAGAAGTCAATCTTGCCGCCCGGCTTGACTACTCCTGTCCGGTCCAAGAATGTGCGCCCGCGCACATACGGATCCAGCTGCCAGTAGTTCTGGCGCAGCGACTCGATCGTCTCGCTCCGTTGCTCTCGGGCCGTTGTGGTAGCGGCCGCGTCCTTTCGCTGGCTGGTGGAGACCCATTCCGAGGTCCGCAGCAGCAACTCCTCGCCAATTTTCAACCGCTCGGCGTAGATGCGGTCGCGGGTTTCCGTATCCGCCATCAGCTCGTTCTCACCGGCCACCGGCTCGACATATTCATAGGTCCAGTCTTCCTTGCCCTTCAGCTCTTTCACAATCTGCTCCGGGGCAATAAATTTCTCCAGATCGGACACCTTGTTGGTAAAGTTCACTTTCGACACAATCACCGGGTCCATCCACCCCTTGATAATCTTCCAGATTCCTGTCTTGCGTTAGAGAGGACCAAGTAAGAAGACTAAACCTGCAAACATACCAGAGAAGACCCAGGGGGCATTGTGAATGAGCATGTATCCAAGCGATTCGGGGTAGTTCTCCTGAAAACATTCGATGATGAATTTCACCGGGGCATATTCCTGGTCATGGTCAGTTCCCGTGCAGATACCCTTGATCGCAGAGCAACTTACCATGTTGGAAAGGCCAAAGCCAGTCATATCAAAGATGATGGTCTGCCACATGGATGATTAGCCTGGTACAATATATGGGAGGTCATGGAATCAAAAGCTGGATAGACATACCACTGTCTCCTGGGGAGGCGCCAGCAATAATCGGGCTGTCTCGATCGTATGCAGGATGAACCGATTGATCACTGCCTCGCTCTGCTTCGAGGGTTGATGGAAGCGAACGCGCACCACGAGAACAGGCCGGCCATCCCGATCGGTCCCGTGCATATAGCACTTCCCCATACGCATTTGGTCCAAGAAGTCCTTGCACTCCTTGGCTGCGTGCGTATCCACCGTGTTCTGAGACGTGACTAGTGCCGCGAGTTCGGGGTTCGCGATCACCTTATCGTCGACATGCTGATCCTTGCGCCAGACAAGCGCCCTCAACATCATACCGAAGGCCTTGCCGACGTCCCACTTGCGAGCGCGCAGGAAGCGAAGCAGAAGGACGTCGGGGGAGTCATGTTTGGCAGTATACAACAGACCCGAGCGGAGTTCGTCGATCGAGGTGTTGCTCAGCGACTCCCGGACGGACTTGATGTCAGGGTTGCTCATACCATTCTCCCGGAGGACTTGGGACAAGTCTTCTGTGAAAGCCGTTTGGCCATGAGCGGAGACGACGGTGTCAGCTCGGGAGAGCGACGTGCTTGGACGCTGGTCGGGTTGGGTCTGTGCCGAGGCATCTCCACCCTGGAGGGACTTCACGTCTAGCAGAGTAAGGACAATGGTCCAAAGCTGTTGTAGTTTAGCCTCTTGATCCTGAGTCAGATTGCCGACGTGGCCGGGTTGGATGCCGTTGGTAGTCATAATGGGTGAAACTGAGTGTAGAATGCAGTCGTGGAGTTTCAAATGGTTCGGTGGGTTACGATCTGCTTATGTAGCATCGTGCTTGCCAGGCGACTACAGCCCGGCCAGTTGCATATGAAACTGCCCGTCTTTGAGACAAACGAGAAACCTCGGATCTCGATAGCGACTTGCAGGCGCCTCAGGGGTTTCGCTGGCCGACCCGTGGTTCTTGCTAGGGGATCGTCGCCGATCGTCCGCTCGGACTGCGGGGAAAGGTTCTCATTTATCGGTTGGTTCGTGTTTGATGGGCATCCCCCTCCCCTTTCAGGCTATTGCAATGATGAAATGTGATGCCCTGGCCATTAATAGCAGCAAGGTCCTGGGTGGGGATTGGCCGGCGCGGCTTCCACTGGCATTCAAATCACTTGTTAGCCTCTCTCTCGACTTTTGGGAGGTTCATATAACTCAGGACCATGGACCAGGGCGGTACCTTAATTATTTCCCACTCCAATCGCCATTCTCATTCTTCGGAAATAAATATTGCTTTTCTTAGAATTAGAGGTGATCGAGAGTTACAGTCTCATGCATGGCGATGGAGCAGACGTTGCAAGGGAGAAGGAGAGTTGTTGAGAAGGTTACTTCCCACCCTGCAACCCCTCACCGCTCGTCATTCTTGCGACGCAGATCGGCAACGCTCAGATCAACGCTTTCTGAGACAACGAATCAAATGGCAAATGGCACACTGGTCAATCCCTCATAACGAAAACTGCCTCGGTCGATTGCCTGGTAGTGCTTCGGTAGGAATGTTGGGCTTATCATGATGCTGCTCGGTGTAACTCTTGCAGCTGATGCCTCGACCCTCCTCTGCATCGGCCTCATCACGGTGGCAATCTATCGTCTCACCGTCCATCGTCTAGCCCATGTTCCTGGACCTTGGATTTTTTGCATCTCGTCCATCCCCCAGTGGATCATCGTCTTGCTCGGTACTGAACCACAGACCCTTGCTTATTGCCATCGCCCCGAATCAGGTCTCCATCTCCGACCCCCATGCCTTAGCTTCTAACTACGTGGCTAATGCGGGCTTCATGAAAGATGGTCGGTATCGTAACTTCGATGTCAACGGGCAGCCCACCATATATTCCGCTATTGACAAAGCCTACCGCGATAAGCGCGCTAAAGCTGTCCTGTCATTATTTGCGCCTGTTAGGATACGAGAAGCAGCAGGGGCACAGAATGTCCAGCAATATATCCAGCAATTCATCGCTCGCTTGGCCAGTGAGAAAGATCGCGCTGTGAAGTCTGCATAATACCGTGTCGACATCCTCGATTTGGCCTTGCGACTCTCGATGGACGTGATGACAGGCTATATGTTCGATAAGTCGTACGGAGCGCTAAACGAGGCCGTCAACTTGAATTCTCGCTCACCACCAACGAAATTCTCGGAGAGTGCCTGGCTGCAGGTTATCGCAGCTTTTGGGTATTATTCCATGTTCCCAACTTGGCTGTTTTCGAGGATGTTGTCTCTCCATCTCGCCATTCAGGATCGTCTCTGGGGGGCTTCAATGCGTCGGGTTGATTAATACGCAAGATCAATCGTTGGGGAAAAGACGGAACCCACTACCCCAGCACACACTTACCGCGGTCGTCTTCGCACGGCTGGAGTGACAGAGGACGAGGTCATTGGTATCTGTGAAGGGTCACTATTTGCTGGGACCAGCTCAACCGGTCAGACGCTGGCGACCATCTTGTTCCATCTTGTCCGCCATGCACTCGTCCGCAAGCGCCTTCACCAAGAAGTAGGCATATCGAGCTCACCTGACCTGCAAAGCCTTCCGTATTTGCGAAGCGTAATTACTGAAGGCCTGCGGCTCGCTATGACCAATCCTGCGCCTCTGATCAGGGCTGTGCCTGACGGCGGATGTCACATAGATGGCGTGTATCTTCCAGGTAGGATCTCGGTCGGGGCATCAATATACGTCTTCCATCATGACCCCGATGTGTTTCCTAATTCTTTTGCGTTCAGTCCCGAGCGATGGTTAGCTGATGAGACTGACTGCGCAACGCGCGAGCTGTGTTACTTTCCCTTCGGTCTGGGATCGCGGTCGTGCATTCGGAGGAATCTGGCGCTACAGGAATTGTACGAAGCTGTTGCTGCCATTGTGAAGACTGGTGTCCTTGAAGGTGCCAGTACATGCGAGGAGAAGATTATAGTAAACGGCTGCTTCAATGGAGAAGTCCAAGGCCATGCGATCGACATCCATTGGCCGATTAGGGAGAGTCGGAGCAACAAGGTTTGCATGTAAATTCAATTCTCGACCCAATCGGGAAACAGCCTCACCGGGAGCTGCGGATGCCATCATGGGGTGCAGATTTCTACTCTCACATCCATATATGGATTCTCTCTTCAATCCCGTCGTAAGAGTCATTTTGACCTCTTCATAATTTGCTGTGGCTATTTCTGATACATTCATCCCTTATCGCGATGCCACTCGTTTACCTGCCACCTGAGTTGGTCCCAATAATCGCGGGGCACCTGAAAAGCGAAACCGACCTCAACTGCTTCGCTCAGACCAGCCAATGTCTATATCGCTGGGTCAACCCATGTCTATATCGATGCGCGGTGCGGAACATGGGCGAAGCCCTTCTTCATTGGGCTGCTAGCAAAGGACAGCTACAAACCCTCCTGAGGCTACTAGCCTTTGGAGCGAAGCTTCCAGCAAACACTCGGATCACTACTACGGATTCACATCCTATCTCTACAGCCGCCAAATATGGCCACGTAAACATCATCCATGCTCTCTTGGATCTAGGAACAGATATAGATTATCCCGCTGGCGTTCATGGAGAAACACCGCTCATAATCGCTATCCGTGAAGGGCACTTGCCTGTCGTCCGAATGTTACTCGAAAGGGGCGCAAATCCTACTCTTCCCACGAAGCTTGATCACACGCCCCTAGAGATAGCCACGACTACTGGAAGACTAGCTGTGGCTGAATGCCTAATCTCCCATGTGAAGGACCTACCACTTACTGCCGAGGTTGATAGTCTTGGAAGGGCATTGTGTGCCGCTGCACGTAGCAAACAGGTCGACATCATGAAGATGCTGCTCCGCAATGGTGCCCATGTCAACTATATACATCGCCAACAACTTGAGACAGCCCTTGTCAATGCTATTCGGACTGGAGACGATGAAGGTACCCGCTTACTGCTCGACCACGGTGCAAACCCGGTGATTGGACTCGAGACATGGGATAGTCCGCCCCTAGTGTGTGCGGCCTGGCGTAACCACCAATCAATAGTCGAGATGCTGGTTGAATATAACCCTAGGGTGAAGCGCCACTTTGCGGACGCCATGGCCGAGGCTGCTAATATGGGACTAGAGGATATGACGAATTACTTTCTGCTAAAAGGTACAAATCCCGATCACCTAAGGAGTGGGTACCGAACGCCTCTGTCTTGTGCTGCGCAGCATGGTCATGCAGGCGTTGCCAAAGTCCTCCTTGCAGCCGGGGCGGACATTAAAGCCAGCGATAACCAAGGACGTACGCCTGATTGGTATGCCTCGTGGCTTGGTTGTCCCGAAGTGCTAGCACTGTTCCGGGAACACATGCTGCCTGGTGCATTTTAAGATTAGATGGGAAATACAATAGTCGAAAGAGGGAGGGAAATGACGGGAATCTGTCCCTGTTCACTGCTTCATACAGAACGACGCAGGAATGATTATAAAGCCACACATTGACCTTCCTTTTCCAGCATAGCTCGTCCTGGGCATACGACAAGACAATGAATGCAAGCATACACAGAAGATTCATGTCAATATCTCCCCGGTACCTTGTTGTTAGACGTCAGTTGTAACATGTCAGAACACCTAATTTATATGTATATCGCTCGAAATGGACTAACTTAAAAATCATGGGACATGCTGCATCCAAACACACATTGAGAGAACTTCAAACTGCATAACAGAAGATGACAACTGACCAAGACTAAGTCGCGCTTGCAGAGGAGTGGCGGAGTCTTTCCTCTACTTATTATTGGTTTTGCGGTTCACTTCAGCAGGTATTCAACAACAAATATCTGTCACACCGGCACTTATCATGCGAATCAACTTTACCTATTCTCGATGCATACTGCATGATGTTAGTGACTGAGTCATACATTTCTCCGGAGAGGTCATGCCTTAAAGATGAAGTACGAAGTATTCTGCAGTCGATTGAAGGCCTTTTCACCTCGTTATCGGTATTGAGAAATGACGCTAAATCCGGGATTCAACTTCCACTGTGGACTTTCCGGGTCTAGAACCTTGCCCTTTGATGCATGTGCTGGTGCACACGAGCTATCTTGCAGGCCATACCCCTGCACTCCGGAAAACTCTTCTGGTCATGCATCGGGAGTCGCATTCGATGCTCAATCCCCAGCTGCAACGTGTCCGGCATTGCAAAGAGTGGGAGAGCCAAGATAATAAAGGTTCGGGAACCAGGTCTCCGGCGGCTATCATAACCCTATCTGGTTAATCTTCCCTATGCTGGTGAGTGACTCAATGATGAAGTTGATAGCTCGTCCATGCCCCTCTTTGTGCTGCTTCGGCATTTTCCGCCCTCAGCCTAAACCCGGATGCAATCCTGTCCTGACACCAAATGGACCAGCAATTAATAATGCGGATCGAGTTATTTTAACCTCATCCTCCAGGCTGGTAATGCCCACCAAATTGGTCTCACTGACAATTGTTCTACCATCATCATGTCTTTAGTGCAGGCCCTTCACTACGAGATTACAACTCCTGCGCCGTCGTTGTCGCATCCAGCAGTCCCGTCACCTCTTCATTCTTTTCCCCAAACTCCTGCAGACGACACTCAAGACCCGCTCAATGGCCCTCTCCAGCAGAGCGTGGCGCCCACGGCGGGCCAGGCAGTTTTTGACCGGGCGCCTTCAGTTCAAATCACTCAATCCCGTCGGTTGGCCATCACCGTGCTTTTGCTCCTGGCCAACCTTGTGCAGGTATCGTATCCATCCATTCATAGATCTTCCAATGCTAAAGTCTGCCAGATGACTGTGAGTTTTGCTGGAATCGCGGGTGGAACTCTGCTAGGGGAGTCCTTGGGTGGTCAGGAAAGCTCTGCCACATGGGTTGGCGCAAGTTATGCGTTAGTAGCAGCTGCGGCAACAAGATACCATCTTGGTTACACTAACTCTATGAAGAATGACACAAGGGACCTTCGTTCTGATGAGCGGGCGATTGGGAGACGTCTACGGCCATCGAGAGCTTTTGCTTGCGGGCGGAGCATGGCTTAGTCTTTGCACATTGATCAGCGCTTTCTGCAATAACTTCTATGCATTCGTTGCCATGCGGGCGCTCGCAGGTCTAGGGGGCGCCTTCATCATGCCTAATGCAGTAGCTATGGTTGCAAGCACCAATCCTCCGGGACGCATGCGCAATCTTAGTTTGGGCTTCTTTGCGGCATCGGCACCAACCGGGGGCTATTTCGGGGCGTTGTTCCTGGGCGCATTTATAGAGGGTACAGAATGGAAATGGTTCTTTGTCTTCATGTAGGTGGTAGCACCCTGTTACGTGGGATATAACTAACGAGGCCGAATCATAGAGCTGGCATTGGCATTGCCACATTTATCCCGTTGTGGGCATTGAGTTCACGAGAGGCTCTCCTCGACAGACACGGAAAGATCGATTGGATAGGATCCGCATTGGGAACAAGTTCCCTGATCCTGTTCAACTTTGTCTGGAAGTAAGCCGATATCCACTTGCGAGGAGACATATACATACTAATACTCTACCACAGTCAAGCACCCAGCGTAGGATGGTCCACGCCCTACGAAATTGCCCTCCTAATCACCTCCGTCATCCTCTTCGGGGCCTTCCTCCTCTGGGAGAAAAGCGGCACAGAATACCCTATCATGCCTCTTGAGATCTTCAAAGCCCCGTCAATCCTCACACTACTCCTCGTCGTCCTCCTCAACTACATGGCCGTCGGCACCTTAATCTGGTACCAAGTCCTCTGGCTCCAAGACGTCTGGCACTGGTCCCCCCTGCACTTCGCTGTCGGCTGGACCCCCTTCGTAATCTGTGCCACAGGCGCAGCCTCCCTTGCCGCATGGCTCGTCCCTCGATTCGCAGCGCAATGGATCCTAGCCATCGGCACCATAACCATCCTGATCTCCAACGTATTAATGGCCACCGTCCCAGTGCATCAAACCTACTGGGCGCAGGTCTTCCCCTCCATCGTACTCTTCTCATTCTGTCCAGACTTCGTCTACACCGCTGCGCAAATCATCGCCAGCAACTCCGTCCGCCGACACCAGCAAGGCATTGCAGGCTCGCTGATCGGCGCATTGAACCTCTACGGCGTTAGTCTCGGCCTCGGCTTTGCGGCTACCATCGAGGACCAGATCGCGAAACACTCCGGTCGAATAATGGGATACCGGGCTGCTTTGTATTTTGGGGTAGGGATTAGCGCAGTGGCTTTACTGCTGGATGTCTGCTTTGTGCGGATGGTAAAGGACGATCGCGAGGGTTGGAACGAGGAAGATCGCGCTGCGGATGGAACTGATGCTGATGCCCTTGAACTGACAGGAGAGGCGGCAGCTACTGGTGCGCAGTGGCCTGCTGCCGTAGAGCGGGCGTGAACGTCGAGTAATGCCACCACCATCTGTTGTAGATCGGGTGGATTTTAGAGTTTGCCCTCGCGTTTGATGAGGCGTGCTGGTAGACATGACGTAGATAGAACAAACCATTCCAACTGCTAGAGATCGCTCACCGGATCGTTGCTTTATCTGTTCACGGGCACGACTAGCATTGAATTGATTGAAAAATAAACAGCCAGCCAGCAACAACAGATTATAGTGATTGAGTCATAAGAAGAACAAGCAAAGAATTTCTTAAACTATCAAATGATACATGCAGGTGGGAAAGGGAAGGAAGTAAGTAAAGATAGAAAGAATGAAAGGAAAAAGAAAAAATCAAAAAGAAGATTCAAGGCCCGAGCCGCGGATCGAACGCGGGACCTCTCGCAGATATGCTTGGGTTTGTATCCCTAAGCGAGAATCATACCACTAGACCACCCGGGCTTGATATATTAATCGTGCTAATATTTTGTTATATGTACTAGGGGTAAGTTGAAGGGGTGGTTCAAGCGGGAGGTTTTCTGAAGCTGGGGGTTATGGGTGATGTTTAATGGCAGTGTGCATTATTAGTATAAGGGAACAAATGTGATGATAGTGTATCTGAGGAAAAACTGGTTCGAAGAAGGTGTAATTTTTTCATAATGGAGGATGATGGTACTACTACCGCTTGAATATGCTTTCTTTCTTTCTTTCCATTTTTATCTTTCTGTTCAGATTGAAACGGACATTAGCCGGTATATACTTACAGCAGTCGGTATCCGCCACACACATGTGCTCAAACTACTACCACTACTTTTTAGTTCAGCTCTTGCTGGGATGGTAATAGTTATCTCTAGTACAATAGATTCAGTGGAAGTATTGCTATACAATTATTGAAGCAACAAGTTTCTTTTTTAACGAGTTCTTTCTCACGACTCCAGGTTTCGTGAAACGTCGATTTGTTTTCCCAGCCTGCTCTGATTAGCTAGCAATAGATCGTTTGTCTACAGGATACTCGTTCAACACTTAAAGCTAGCAATTGAACCTCGACTTCTCAGCGGGTGCAACGCACTACAATATATAATGACAAATATGTCAGCTACCCATTCCGCACCTTTCTCATCATAGTTATATAGATTATATGACTCCGCAACATTTACTCCAGTTAGACATCACTATCGAATATATCTATTCGTGAAAATTTCCCCATCGTCCAAATGCAGTTGAATTGACCCAAAGTAACAGAAGAGCAGCTCACCGTGTGGACGCCAATCAATAGTCCAAGGTTCTAGTGCCAATAAATATAAGCAACAGGTTGACCGTAAAATCTCCGGACAAGAGTTTCCCGTCCCGCACGCTTATGGGGGTCTCGTACCACCAACAAGAACAGTCCATCGGAGGACACGCATCTCAGCTCAACACAGCAACGCTACAAGAAATTCAGCTGACTTGAGATAAGCTTCCGATGTAATCCGTCCACTTGGTAGAGAAGGATGACGTTGCTGGGCCGGAAAAGGTAAAATGAGGGATGATGGATGGGTTCGATAACATGGCCCTGAAGAGGTGGAGGGAGTGTCAGCTGTGTGTAGTGATGAAATCATCGATAATTTGATTCATGTTAGATGTGAACATCCGGGGGAACGAAGAATTCCTGAGAGACCCTGTGTGGGAAGGGGCTGATAGGAGTAAAGGAACCGGCAGGCTGCAGGTATCGCAGGGATACACACCTTGCATACCACCTGATAAGAAACGAGGTAGGAGATTCAGCGGCCGAAAGCATAGCTGAAAAGCTGAGATTGCTTGGTATGATACTGACACTGACAGAAAAATCGAGTAGCCCTTATGGGACGTTCTGCCATCTCTCCGCGGGACTGATGCTTTCCACGTCCGAGGACGAGCATCATTAGCTATGCACGATTTCCCGTGGTAGCTTGGGAACAAGGCATGCGCTATTGGACCAGACAAGGTCCGGGATCTGATGATGTGATCGACCATGCAGATACTGATCAGCCTTGTCTTTGAATGATTTCACTGCAGGCATAAGTCAGAGCCCTCCAACACGCATGAACGATTAATAGGGTTCATCGCGCTATTTGTTATTCCTCGTTTCACCTGATCTCGCGGCGGTTGAGTTCTAGCCTGGTGAATTATTTCGGTGCAACATAGAGCACACATATCATGGCTACCAAGAAATCGAAAGAGGAGTACTGTGATGGCCCGGATACCAAAGCAGAAAGGATGCCGTCGGATACAGAGTCACCAGTAGAAGATCCGGATCTAGCTCCCGTTGAAACTGAGGTTTACTCGACCTTCTCTCGTCGAAAAAGAGCATTGATTGTCCTGATAGCTTCAGTGGCCAGTGTTTTCTCCTCCTTGTCGGCAAACATCTACTTGCCCGCAACTGACACTATTGCCGACCAGTTTCACGTGAGCGACACCTTGATAAACCTTACCTTGTCAACATATATGGTAGGTGAACATGTAAAGCATTTGAAAGATGAGAGGAAGTGCTTACCTCGATAACATAGATCTTCCAAGGTCTCGCGCCCACTTTCTTTGGCGGGCTTGCTGACAATGCAGGGCGGCGGCCAGCTTACATCCTTTGCTTCATCGCGTATATCGCCGCCAACATCGGGCTCGCCCTGCAGCGCAACTACGCCGCGCTGCTCATTCTGAGGTGTCTCCAGAGTGCTGGCGGTAGCAGCACTATTGCGCTCGCTAATGCTATTGTTGCTGACGTCGTCACTACCGCCGAGCGCGGCGAGTACATTGGATATGTGTCGGCCGGCTTCATCATTGGCCCGTCGGTAGGGCCTATAATCGGGGGGCTTTTGACGCAGTTCCTAGGCTGGCCCTTCATATTCTGGTTGCTGGCAATCCTTGCAGGTGCTTTCGTCATCGTGCTAGTGATTTTTCTTCCCGAAACTGCCCGTAAGGTTGTCGGCAATGGCTCACGATCCCCCCCAATATGGAACTTGTCGGGGCTTCAGCTCTGTTCTCGACGTCAACGGGCTGAGGCTCATTCCTCGGCGTGCATTCATCTTAGTTTCCCCAACCCGCTCAAGGCTCTCACCATTATTTTCCACAAAGACGTTTTTCTCATCCTTCTGGGAAATGGTGTAGCTATAGCAGGCTATTTTGCTGTCACAGGTACCATCACCTCGCAGTTCAGCCGCATATACGGCTTCAATGAGGTGCAGATTGGTCTGTGCTATCTTCCCCTTGGCGTGGGCAATCTGATTGCTGCATATACACAAGGAAAAATAACGGACTGGAACTACCAACGGCACGCACACAGCCAAGGCATTGACATTTCCAGCAATCACCGACCTGACTTGGACAAATTCGCCATCGAACGCCCCCGTGCTGAAGTCGTCTTGCCGCAGGCAATCGGTGAAGCATTGAGCATGATTGCGTATGGCTGGGTATTGCACTACGAGACCAATCTTGCAGGTCCACTCGTTCTACTTCTTCTCATTGGGTATACTTCGGCAGCAGTAATGAATACCTTGAGTGCGTTGATGGTAGATATCTATCCCGAGAGTCCGGCGATGGCAACAGCTGCCATGAATCTCACACGATGCTGGCTCGGAGCTGGTGCAGCTGCTGCAATCCTTCCTCTAATTGACGCCATCGGTAATGGATGGGCTTTTACTGTAATTGGTTTCATGTGTTTTGTGTGCGTGCCAGCGATGGTAGTGGTCTGGATTTGGGGTTACGACTGGCGCAGACAGCGACATTGACAGGAAGTCGTCTCTAGGACGGTTATGTTAGTCACTGAGAGATATCACCTAATCTAACACAAGGGCACTTGGTTGTTTGATTAGCTAGTACGAGATAGCATGTAGCATGTTTGCATGAGCGTCGGGGGCTGACACAAGCATACTAGTCCTGTCATTGATTCAGATGGAAGGACAGGTCTGAAACTCGAGAGCCAACATCGGCTAAACCGGCTCTCTGTATCACAAGTAGTTGCACTGTCAGGCTGAGCACGTCGGGTAATCATTTCTTCGAGACTTTCAGGCTCTTCGCTTGTCGAGCTCAGGAGAGGAGTTCACCTTAGTGAAGGCCACTAACGCCGAATTCTCGGTTATCCATTTGATATTCCCGTTATTCGAAGTACCTATTGTAGATGAAAGCTTGATGAAGAAGAGGGGAGAAGGGAAAAGAGGATGTCTGGTTGATGTTAGTGTGGCAGTGTTTGTCGCTGACGTGGGGGCGATTCTAAGGCTGGTTGAAAATGTTATCCCCAGGCAAACAGTAAGCAAACAGGAAGCAAACACCTGATCTTTCCAGCACACTTTGGGGCCATGGGGCCAAATCCTCTTAGTTCAAAAATGATCGCCAGGGGCAAAGAACACTTTGAGTTAGCTGGAGGTGCCCCATGAGTCTTGTTAGTCTCTGGATGAAATGACCCATACTACAGCCGCAATTGCTGCACAAATAGTTCGTTAGTTCAAATTCTATTCTGCCTTGGTTGCTTTGTGACTTACAATAGCTGTTTCCACCGGATTTACCAACCTTGAAGATACACTGGTCCACGTCTGTACTGCTCTGCAAGACAGGATACCTGTAGAAAATCGAGCACCGGGCAACGCAGCATGACAAGCCCATAAAATCTAGCCAGTTCGAACGAGAGATGTCAATTGCAGCCAGTTCATCCGACCCAACACTACCAAGACCAAATGAGCAACAGTTTTCGCCCCATATGAAGGACCGTTGACCCACTGTTGGCCATAACTCATTGGGTTCGATAGTCTCTCCGAATCAGTCCATAGATCTATCGGTCACTTATGAGCTAGAGATTCAACGCATGGGGCCGAAGACCCTAGAAAAAGCTGTTTCAACATGCTACGGCTGAATCGTATGCGGCTATGTTATCAGGGCGATCATATAAGATTGCCTTTACCCACCAATCCCACTTCCGTCTCCCAAGCATCGTGAACACAGAAAATGCCTGCGACACTGAGGAGGACGCTGTTGCTGGCCCTGTGGGCCGGCAGCCTGGTTTCCAGCTCCTGGGGAGCTGATTTACCTACTACCGATATAGTAGCCTCTAACCCTAGTATCACTCCTGCTCCGGTAGCAGGAGCTTGGCTGGCTGAGTCGGATTCTGCCGCCATTGAGCATGAGGTGGATGAAGACGAGCACCCTCGGCTGGTGGCTAGAAAGAAGAAAAAGAAGACAAGCAAGAAGTCGAGTAAGACGAGCAAAAAGTCCAAGACAAAGACTTCTACTTCGACCAAGGACACGACCACTCACACGACGAGCACAAAATCCAAGACTTCTACTTCGACCTCGACCAAGGATACGTCTACTCACACAACAAGCACCAAGTCTCCCGAGTCTCACAGTACCTCAACCTCAACCAAGGATACTTCTACTTCCACGAGTACCAAGACACCAGAGGTACATAGCACCTCGACTTCGACAGAGGCTACACCTACTCATACGACCAGCACCAAGACACCTGAGGATCAAAGTACCTCGACGTCGACGAAGGCCACTCCTACGCATACGACCAGCACCAAGACACCCGAGAGCCACAGTACCTCAACATCGACCAAGGCCACACCTACTCACACTACGAGCACCAAGACACCCGAGGGCCACAGCACCTCGAGTAGTGCGGCTTATGAGACCTCTGCATCGGGAGGCCAGTTTGTGCAAACCCCAACTCCAGGGACATCAACACGGACAGTCTCGGAGGGGTCTGCTGCAGGCACTTCAACTCACAGTCATACCACAAGCCCAGGGTCGTCTACTAGCGGCAGCCACACGCATACGACGAGCACTGAATTTCATCAATTGTCCTCCAGCGCTGCACACCACCATACAAGCACAGGGTCTGAGCACCCGACCTCCACCCCTGAATCGCACTCTGCATCGCACTCTGCGTCCCACACTGCATCCCACACCATAACCTCGGGATCTGCGCACATAACCAGTAGCAGTGCCGTTGAGACTTCATCTCATACTGTGTCATCATCTAAGCCAATCATTTCTTCGGGCGTTGCAACTTCCACAAGTGCTACACCGGTTAGCTCTGAAGCTGCCCAGCCGACTGATGATGGCTCGGGTGATGATGGGGATGACGGAGAGGAAACTGGCGATGACTCTGGGGAAGATACCGGCGACGATTCTGGTGATGACACTGGCGATGACGGAGATGATACTGGTGATGACACTGGTGACGAGTCGGGCGATGACTCTGGTGATGACACTGGAGACGATACTGGCGATGATACTGGCGATGATACTGGCGATGATACTGGCGATGATACTGGCGATGATACTGGCGATGATACTGGCGATGATACTGGCGATGATACTGGCGATGACACTGGAGACGATACTGGCGATGATACTGGTGATGACACCAGCGATGACACCAGCGATGACACCGGAGATGATACTGGCGACGACACCGGCGATGACACCGGAGATGATACTGGCGATGATACTGGTGATGACACCGGCGATGACACCGGAGATGACACCGGAGATGACACTGGTGATGAGTCTGGCGATGACTCTGGGGATGACACCGGCGATGACACTGGCGACGATTCTGGTGACAATTCCGGTGAAGATTCCGGTGAAGATTCCGGCAACGATACCGGAGATGATTCTGGTGACTCTGATGATGGCTCAGCTACCACTACCTCGCCTGCCACTTCATCCTCCGCGTCTCCAGCTGCCAGCTCAAGCGCAGCTGTCTCGGAACTGTGCAGCCCCCAATGCACTGAATGCCTGTCAACTGACACAACCGATACCTCAGGCACGTCATTCAGACGGTCCGGTCTATTCAGCAGAGGGCTCGCTCAAAGGGCCTCCAGCTTTCTCGCCTGGATGTCCACCCAGATGCAGACCGCACAGCCCCTTGTCAAGAGCACTAGCGGCGTAACGACATCTACATTCGTCGTTTTTGGCAGCGGTACAAGCAGCCTTTCCCAGGCTAATGTTCGCGGATGCACTGTTCTCTACGTTGTCTCCAAGTACGCTGTGTACGAGGCGCACCTGTGGGAATCCCCGGGATTTGTGTCGAGCCAGAACGGCACTGTCGCCTTCAACGAGCAATCATTCCAGACCAACATTATCAGCTACCTGACGAACGACGTGAACCTCAAGCTGCCACAGCTCACTGGCACCGCTGCGTACCCCGACCCTGGCACTCAGATCTACATTGGCACGCCTGTAGCTGCCACCGGACAAGGCGCAAAGTACGTGTCTCAAATCTCGCGCATCGCATCAACAGTCAACCAAATTCTTGGGCTGTCTTCTGAGCCGGCTGAGTACTACTACACGCCCACTGGCACGGACGGTGAAAGTAACTGGCTATTCCAGTACAATGAGAACGCCTGCAACAAACCTGTGTGGCAGATTTGGTATGGTGGTGTGGCGGATAATGCGCTGTGGTCATCCAGCCAGACGTCTAGCTCCTGCGCCTCTAGTGCAGCGACGCCTTCTCGCACACCAGGAGTTCCTGCCTATACCCCGTCCACCATGATTGTCATGCCTAAAGCGACACCTGCTTATTAGCGGGGCTGCTACTAATTTCTCGAACTCGAGCATGAGCTGAGCCTTGCTGCCAATCTTTGACCCACCCTCCCTTTTCTGTACGATGCCCACACACACTCTCTTGTTTCTGCACGATGCTTCACACACTCTCTTGCTATTTTAACTTCTTACATTCATTCACAAATCTTGCTTATGCTTTCCTACCCTCACTTGCTTATCTTATTGTCCAACTGTGACCTATACTTTAAGTACTTTCTTTATGTGCATTAACTGCAGTACCTTTAGACAGGAATTTCATACTTGTATATATACTATTATCCTGCTATGTAGTCAGCGTAAAATGTAACAACCCGCCAAGCAACGGACTACGTATTGTCCATGCCCCTTACATGGAGAAGGGGAAATCCCCACCCACCGACCCATCAACCCATCAATCCCCCCGTCACCAACCCAGTTTCACACCCCAAACCAAGAATCCGAACCAGTCCAAGCAATAAAGCCAAGGAACACAGAAAGAAAATCAAGATGCCATTCAAGATCCTCCTCAAGGCAACTCGCCTTTCAGAAACCTCTCCCTCCACATTCAAATCCCGTCTAGAAGCGCACATCGAACTAGTCAAGCGTCTTACGGGTCCTGATTTCCCCCTCTCCCATCGACGGATCTATATTGATCGTCCTACTGCTCCGTCTTCAGAGGGAACATATCCTACCACCGTGCTACTCGGACAACAGAGTGATTTCTCATTCGACGTGATAGCGGAATTGACATTCGAGGATAAGGCTGCATTCGAGCGGTTTCAGGCGAAAGTGGGAGAGCCAGAGATTGCGAGAGCAATTCAGGAGGATGAGCATGGATGGTCTGATCGGGGGAAGTTGGGGATTGTGGTGTTGGGGGAGGTGAGGGAGACGAAGAGGTGATTTCAATGTTTGATTTTTTTGGTTGATGTTCATGATGATCAACTCTACAGAGATGGGGATGATGTGGGGTTGATTTTGCACTTTTAGGAATCGAGGCAAATCAATTGGACGTTATTGAGTATGTGTGAGACTTGCATATTGTAATAGAAGATTTATTGCCTATCACATCTACTATTACCTACTAATTGGCCATTCTATGTCCACGGAGTGACAGGTGACACAAGGAACGACGACGACCCCTTGTAGATCTGCCGCATCACTGCTCCATACATAACAACAACCGACAACCACTTCAACACCATCCCCCCCCCCACCATCCATCACGACGCGGTATTCAATGCTACGCATCTATCAAGTAATACCAAGACTCCCACAATGGCCTCTACTACGCCACCAACTCCCCATCCATCGCGTCAAACGTCCTACACCCATTCCCTTCACGCGTCGTCACACTGCCTCGTGCACAAATAATCCCCACCTCCAATACCGACTCCCCAAATACAACTTGAACCAGTCAGAACCAGACAAAGATCTCTCCACAGTGACCAGATTAAACGCCAAGGGGATAAAGTCAACCTGCCCATCCTTTCTCTCACCATCCAAAGCACCTCAGCCCTTAACCTCACGGTGTCACCCACTTCTCATGCATTATCAACGGCTTCAATATAACTCAAAATTCAGCTCCCACTATTCAAGTATGACGACGTCAGGCGGTGACATATCAGCAAGCGAGCCATACGCCAAGTATAATTGGATTGACGGGGCCGAGTCTCTCGAGAAATATAGACCCGGAGGCTACCATCCTGTCATGTTAGGGGATTTACTACGTGACCGATATCGCATCGTCGACAAGCTCGGGTACGGGGGATACTCGACCGTTTGGCTCGCCCGCGACACCCACTTGGAGCGCTACGTCGCTGTCAAAGTGGGCATAGCGAATTCCCTTCCGCATGAAACTAAGATTTTGCGGGCTCTTTCGGCGCCCGCTTCAGTGCCATCGTCTGTTCGCGCGGGCCTTGACTCCATCCCAGTACCATTAGATGAATTCGAGGTGACTGGTCCCAACGGGACGCATCCATGCTATACGACGACACCCGCACGATGCAACCTCAGAGAAGTCTCTTTCAGCCGTCTTTTCCCCCTTGACGTTGCGCGTGCGTTATCGGGGGGCCTTATACTAGCTGTCGCTTATATGCACTCGCAAGGCTATGTTCACGGAGGTAAGCTCAGAGTTTTATCGCTTTGATCCAGTTCTTCAAGTCGATGCTGATAAAAACAAGATATCCATCTTCGTAACATCTTGGTGAAGCTACCAGCAAGCTTCGACAGTCTCTCTATTGAGGAATTTTACGAACAATATGGGAAGCCTGAGACGGTGTCAATCACACAGCGCAATGGAGGTTCGCTTCCACCCCATGTTCCACCGAAGGCAGTGTTACCTCTTTACCTCGGAAAAAAAGCCGAGGAATTCACATTGCAAGACGCCCAGGTTCTTTTGAGCGATTTCGGAGAGGCGTTTTCCCCCGTCTCCTCCCCTCGCTCTGGAGAGTATTGCCACACCCCTGTGCCTTACTGCCCACCCGAGGCTCTGTTTGAGCCCCAGGCGCCTCTTTCATACCCTGCAGACGTTTGGAGCTTAGCTACTGCTGTGTGGGAGATTCTGGGCATGAAGGCTATTTTCAGCACCGAGGCACCAGAGGATGAAGTCACGTCTCAGCAGATTGATGTTCTTGGGCCTATGCCGCAGGCGTGGTATAGTGCATGGGAGGAGCGGAGCTATTTCTTTGGCGAAGATGGGCGTCCAGTGGAAGGCCGCGAGGTATGGCCTGTTTTGGACCTCGCATTTGAGCAGGGAGTGCGGGAGTATCGACGGCGGGGTGGAGTAGGGGATTCTGGTGATGATGAGACTGCTGCTATTTTGCAGCTGATGCGGGGGATGTTCAGATTTAAACCGGAAGAGAGACTGACCATTGAAGAGGTGTTGCAGTCGGAATGGGTATCTAAGTGGGTGATGCCCGATTATGAACGTAGTTTGCAAGCATGTACATGATTGATAGATAGATAAATAGATAGATACACTACCGAACCTACTACCCCCGATAAGAAGTTGAAGTAAATTACTTCGTAACCTCCTCCGCAAACCCAACCAACAACTCATTCACAACATCCGGCTTCTCTAACTGTACCCAATGACCCGCATCCACCACCTCGATCCTCGAATCCACCACATTCGTAGTCGTCATATGCGACCCCACCTCCACCCGACAAACATAGTCCTGCTTCGCAGCAATATACAGATTCTTCACAGTACATTTCCCCACTCCACCCTCAATGTCCGCTTCATCTTCGGTATTGATGCCGCGAATCGCAGCCTTATACCACGACAGCGGACCGGCGTATCCACCCTCCGAGAAGACACGATGATGAATATCGTAGTCTTCCTGGGTGAGCCAGGACGGGAGAGGGGTGGTTTTGCCCGAGCGGACCCATTCGGCTGCTTTGCCGATGGGAGCGAGATCGGTTTTCCACATCGCAGGGTCTTGCGGGTAGATGAGGCTGAAAGCGGATTCGGGCTGTAGATTCGTTCGTTAGTATATAGACCTGAATCTAGAGAGGAGTGTGGATGAAATGTACATGAGCCGCCATCTCATCAGCTGCTTCATCGGTATTGTGCCAGAGCCAGTACCCGAAGACGGGGTATCCGAAGAGGGATTCGGTGTGTTTGAGGAGACCGTCTATCACTGTCAGAATTTTTATCTATCCTCGATAGTCATATTGGGAATAAGATAGGATGAATACCAAGATCGAACTTCGGTCCAGGGGCATTATACGCGACCGCAATGCTCACGAACCCATAAAATCGCTGGGGATAGTAATAAGCCACGCGGGAGGCGAGACCGACGCCCCTTTGAAACCCTGTTAGTATTCATTCATGTGCAATTGACATGTATATTGAAAGGACAGGTATCATACCAATCATGCGCGACCAGCACCGCCCGAGCGACATTCTCGCGATCCAGAATCTCAATTAAATGCTGGCTCATCACCTTCATACGATACGCTTTCAGGTCCGTCGGCTTGTCGGTATCGCCATACCCCAACAGATCGGGCGCAATTACACCGTATCCGCCCTTCTGCAGGAATGCGATCTGGTGTCGCCAGTCGTAGCTGGTAGAGGGGTAGCCGTGGAGGAATAGGAAGGTGGGTTTTCCGTCCGTGGCGGGGACGTGGACGTAGCCGTAGGTGGTGCCGTCGGAGAGAGTAGCTTTTTTGGCTAGGTCGGGGTAGACGGTGGATGCCATTTTTGTTTCGAGGGAGAAGGTCACCGGTGGTAGTTGCAATTGACAAAAAAGCTGAAGTGTGGGTGAGATTGGGGTAAATATATGGGAGTCTGGAGGGGTAGCTTTCAGCCTTGTTGGATGCTCGTGAGTGTCAGCGTAAGCAGCTGGGATTGACGAACCACCCTATCACAGTGGACCTTGGCTTTGTTGGCAATACGTAGTGAGATGGGGATAATTGGGGACACCTTATGATCAAAGAAGTAGTAGAGTTTAAACTAAATGATTATGGGTTGGTGGTTCACGGAGGGGCATTTATTTATTTGGCTGCCAAGCTTGGGTTAATTGAATTAGTTAGTGGCCTCCACTCTGCCGAGGCTCTCATGATTGAGGGTCTGTATTTTCGATTAGTGAACTTTACATAACATTACATTTTGGTGATTCATTTACCTCTGAACTATAAAGATCTTCAGGGTCCTCCCCTATTAACAGTCTTCGTTTTTCGATTCATAGTATAGCTCCATGTCTGAGCTAGTCGTTCAACCCTGTGTTGACACCTGTCGGAACCCGCTCTTTAGTGCGCTTTAGGAGTAAGTTCGCCCGTCATGCATTGGAGTTAACCGCTCGACCGATTGGTAGAAGATAAGAGATCTGAGTCTTGGAGTCAAAGATTGCGCATCGTTTATAAGCTTTACTTGATAGAACCACTACGGGTAGGTAATGTGGGACGCAGTTCTCATGTCGCCGTTGATCCAGTTTCAAGCTTGTCGCAAGTACTTGAAAATTCCCATACATTGATTGAAATAGTTCTTAAGCTCATCTCAATTCAATTCGTCAACAATTCAAAGTCTCTTCCATGTTTAGTGGATCAGGTAATGGTCACATTGCACCTATCTTGGTGCCTTTTGGCCGTCACTGTTACTGAGCATTATACTCTCCAGCATAGTAAAGATCCAATCACAAGTAAGGTGCACTAGCACACAAAATTTTGATGGCAAAGCATAGGTATAACCAGTCCAGGCTGTGTAAAATCCAGCCTAGATCTCATCACTCAAGAAATAATTAGCTGCAACCGGCCCCCCAACTGCCTTAATAATCGGCTCCAGAGTGAAGTTGAACCGCGCAGAAGTAGTCTGCGAGTAATAAGTCCCGTTCGCAGCCTCCTCAAAAGGCACATATCCCTGGGGCTGATCAAACAGATACAGCGTGTAGGTGTGGTTGGTGCTGTCGCGGGGACGAGGCGCCGTATATTCGGAGATAGCATCGCTGGAGTTGACGAAGCGTCCGTTCTGGATAGTATAGTTGCCACCCCACCAGTGCAGACGAGTGGTGGTGTTGGCAGCCAAACCGGGGACGAGAGTGTCGTAGTAAGCGGCGGTGGTGACGTCCGAATCAGGGATATTGAGGTCGAGCATCACGACCATGTAGGTGGCATCCTTGTTCAGGTTTTCAGTGACATAGATGGCTGGCTGGCTGGTTACGTCTTCGCTTGGAGTTAGTTCGGATTTTACACTGTATAAGAGGCGGAGTATGTACCATCCGGGCTCACCCAGGTACCAGGGGTCACGGTGGCATTGGGAAAGGCGACACCAAAGTTCTTGTTGGTGGATGGGGAACTGCCCGGGGGCGTCTGGGCCAGCGCGGTGGCGGCGAGGGCGGATAGAAGGGAGAGATAACGCATGGTGGATGGTTAAAGGGCAAGAGTTCTAGCCAGGAACACAGTTCCAACGGAGCGTTCCATGTCTATATGTCGTTCAGGAACGGAGGTTAAGATCAGCTCCGTTCGCCGAAGGCTTCGTCATACATCGGCGGATGCTGCTGGATCGGGTTGGCGAGTGGATCGGCAGCGGCCCCGGTTTGTGCAGAATCCCCGTCGTCCCGCTGCCATTCCAGGTTAAATCCGTGAAACGTCGGATATCATGTGACCGTTACGGAAATCATCTCCTTTAAGTGCTTCATGTGAAACTGTTGCTCAACATCTGGTTGTGGAAAAAGGGAATCATGTGGAACAGTCAGTATACACCTAGGCACAGACTTTGGATGCATCTGAGGGAATGTTTCATCGAATCGTTCGGTTCATCATATACACAGGATACTGAATATTCATCATATACTAGCTTTAGAATCTGATCATCTTCAAAGAGCTAGTTTGGCTCGAGCAGTGGCGACGTGTCCCACTGCCGCTGCGTGCAGGGGGGACTCCGCCGATCTGTGCCGCCACTGAACCAAGGATGAGCTGTGGAGCTCTTCACTCGTATCTAATCAATCGAAAATCGTGTCAACCTGTAGTTGTAAACTCCTTATAGTTACATTAATTCCTAACCAGCCACCATGTTGTCACTTACTATCGAAGCCGGAAGGGTCCTCGTGCCAGTCGAACTCATCCAGCATATTCTCCCACAAAGTCATCTCGCGATCTTTCCCTTCACTTCCTGGATACACTGCAGGTGATTCATGCGTGGCGGTCAGAGAACGACATCCACACATACCAGTTCGGCTACTTGTCACTTCTCTTGCGTGCCCCCGCAAAGCATGGGGACCGAGGTGATGCAACCGCGTACTTTCGTGCTCATATCCCGATCCCTGTGTTGAGAAATCCAGCTGCTCTTGCTGCCGCTCACAGGTGGTATTCTCCAGCCAAACCAACATACTTGTCAACACCATTTTGCAGCTTATTAAAGCATCATATTCTCGCAAACTGCCTTCCACTTTCTTCAACAGGGCAAGTCCGAGGGTGTGTATGTCATGTCTTTTGAACCCAGGACTGTCGAACCGCGCATGAGATAGTAAGTGGAGCTTTGAGAGAAGCAGAAGACTGTACCAAAGTATATTGTATGATGAAGCAGGCAGGTGAACGAGCGCTGGTAATGAAATTGCAAGAAACATGTTGATAGTATTGTATGCTGACGAGGATAATGCTTGAAGCTGCTGTAGATCACAGTAGGGAGTGCAGTGGTGCCGTCCAAGAACTAGTATTGATGTTGCACTAAGCTCTAGGCGCACAGCCCCTGGTAAATGTTAGTGCCTGACACAGCAGTATATTTTTAGGGGATGACTCACAGTTGTCCCAGAGATTTTGGTTACGGAGAAGTTCCTCTGTATGCTTTTGTTGCAGTGCGAGGGAGTCAGATAGCTTCCGCCAGGCCATGCTCTCATCTGTTCCCGAGAAATGCTTCCTAACAGGTGACCAATCAGTCCTGCAACGTGTACACTCCTTGGCATATAACCCGAGCACTACATCGGTAGGGTACTCTGCCTTTAGTGCAAGCATCTCAGTGCACCTTTTGATCCATTCAGTATACTTCATGGCTAGCTGTCCTCGGAAGAACAGTGATCTGTTATGGATATCATGAACGTAAGCTTCTAATTCCCGAAAGAAGGAGAGCCCTATTAACTCACCTCGAACAGAGATAATAACATCCGAGAAAAGCCCGCTGTGCCGCCGAGGTCCAGCAATCGCTATTAAACTCCATCTGGTTGGCAACCTGGCTATTAACCGGAGAAGCCTGCATCTTAAAGTCTCCTTTGTCCAGGCCTAAATCCCCAACAATCATTGCCGCCATTTGCAGAAACATAGAAGTCTGGGAACTATACTTAGGCCAGTGATAATAACCCCAGGCAACGTGGACCAATAGCCCTAAAAGCAGATCCAAGCTCCTCTCCGAGTTGACCATCAAGCGAGTGGCGATGGACCTCCTGACTTCTTGTTCCATCCTATCTTGTAACGATGGTTTGTGCTCCAGGCAGGCGGTCACGATGCACAGCAGGAGAA